AGGGGAGGGACTCCCTGCCTCGATTACATGAACGAGCTCTCGCCATTTTGCCTCGTTGCTACTCCTGTCCGACACCGGCTCGTTTCGCGTTTCGACCTTCGAACGTCGTCGGGGGAAAAGAGCCATTGTCAGAGCAGCTCTTCGGGGAAAGGTGGAGAGCAGCGGGAGAATGAACAGGGGAAGTGATGCCGAAAGAACGCGGGAGAGGTGTGCGAAAGAGCAGCTAAGCTCGCCGTCTTCCTGTCTCTCTCTCCTTTTATACCTTTTTTTTTTTACTGGTCTCTCTTGTAAGTATATCCCTTCGCCCGCTCGTCCCTCTCCGAACGCAAATTCCGAAGATCCATCGTTGAAAAGTAAAAGTCGTCGCATATACTTACATATCTGCGCGCTGCGGCTGGCGATAAAGCCGAGATCTCTGCCGTCGACGTATTTATTTTTATACATCTTTCTTCTATTTCCTCTTCTTTACGTAACTTCTTCTGGTGACGTAACGTCGATGACTGTACAATGACTTTGTACATTTATGTATGTATCCTCATATATCTTTTTTTATTCTTCTTTCTCGGTGTGTCTGTTGTAAATATTTTTCTCTCTCTTCGAGTGCAAATTCCACGGATTTATCTGCGAAGAGTAAAACTTACATTACACGTGGTAATAAAATCGAGATCACCGATATATTTGTTTTTATGTGTATTCTTCTAGTTTCTCTTCTTTATGTAACTTCTTCGCGATGTAGCTTCGTAAAAAATAATAATTTCGCATAATCAATACATCCTGCTATGTTATCGTCTATCCGGAAGAATAAATTAGTCTTTATTGCGTTCTGAATGAACGGTGACACGCGAGGATTGCATGTACTTCCGCGATCGCAGGTGCACGTGTATTCACGGCGTCTCCCCGGACTGTCCGGCGCTACGCGGAAACACATCGAAAGTGCAACGAAGGCGTTAACTATACGTGTGCAAAATCTTTCGATGGAAGCGAAATAAACTCTGTTATGACTCAGCCTCGAATTATCTATTTATTTATCGTTAAAAAACTTGTTAAGGCATCCGTCGTGGCGATATTCCCGCTGTATCATTCACGCCGCATTTATCGCCGCAATATAATTACTCCATCGCCTATAATAATTATGCTGCGTCTATTGGAAATATTGCGTTGTGGATTCCGATCCGGGTCGTCCGAGCCTTTACCTAGATTCAGCCAGACCGCCGCGACCTCCGCCGTAAACCGAGCCCTACATCAAGCGAGCATACATGCGTTCACAACGGTCCGCAGCTATGTACACGCGCGCGCATACCTTGTACAACCGGATGCGTTAATGGTATCCGCCGCGTTTGTGTTCGTAATGGTATTTCACGATGCTCGACTCACCGATTCCTATCTCAGATTTTGCATTATCAGTTTCCGCAAAAAACAAAATAAAATTCGACGCAAAACTTCGTTATTCCTCGCGAATATGGAGCAATTAAGCCGCGCGATTAATTAAAATTGGCGTAATCGAAAAGTTTCCGGGATATCGTGAAGAAATTGAATGATTTTTGAACGCAAATATATTTACATTTATATAATCGATACGTATACAATTAATACGCTCAATTGTAAATGCGCTACAGCTCTTCGGCTGCTCGTTCGATCGCGCTCGGCAACGCCGCGTTCACGCTCGCGCTCCGGGTGTGCGCGCGCGCTGGTTGTTGCGTAACGCTGCGGAGTCATGCGATAGGGATAGATCCGTCGTTGCGCGACGCGATGGTGGTATATACAGCAGATAGACAAGGACGAAGCCGACGATGGATGTGCCAGACGAGGGTGCGGATGAGAGGGGCGACGGTTCAGCCTTGAAACGCTTCGTCACGAGCGCCACGCACGAACGTTGGACTTGCCGCAGATTGCACGGATTCTCGTGGTTTCTTTCCGAGCTTTTCCTACATTTAGCAAAGTTGCGAAAAAGAATTTTTCCTGAACTTATTTCAAAATCTTCAAGAAACAACAGATTTCTTTGTGGGTGAAAAATTCGTTCCACTTTTAATAAGAAAATTTATAGGAAATTAAATATACTTTAATTGACACAACTTTCAATCAGAGAGTGATTTTCTTTTCAGCAAGTAACTGATTTAAAAAAAGAATATTTTACTTTATCATTTCTTTAGAATTCTTTTTTTGAAACTTTAGGAAAATTTAATGAAAGTTACATTTTACATGCTTTAAAAATATAAAAGTTCTCAAACGAACACGATTCTAGCAAAATGGGACATCGATCCAACATACTCGAAAATATAGTAAAGTGGGTTACTAGGCAAAGACCCAGTTTTCATTCTCAAGTGTTCTCAGTTATATTTTATCCCGAAGAAACTTTCCAGTTGAAATATTCGTTAATCCTTCGCAGCGCGGCCTTTTTCGACACTCAATTCGGTCCCTATTCATTTTACTTCACGTTATATATATATATATATATATATAGGGTGTCTCTATAAAACATTCGTAGCCGGCAATAATGCTGGCACAATAGTCTGTCTACAGAGTTTAATCTAACGAATTAGCTATTCAATTGTGAATTGTGCTGTATTTCAGATCTGAAATTATTACTTTCTTTCATCGGATCATTTATAAATAATTCCAAAAGATTTTAAAATCGAAAAAAATGCTATTCTTCGATTTTCCGCACGCGTTTCCGAGGCACCCCGTATATAATCGATACGCAGCGCGATGCTCGACCGCGAGTGAAATTCCTGTAACGCCGCGTAAGACAGCGGATAGCCCCGTAGCCACGGGAATCCACGTGCTGCTCCTGTCGGGGTCACCCCCGGAGCGGCCAGACGACCAGGAAGCGGAAGCGGTCGAGCGAATCGTTAAGAAAGCGGAGCGGAAGAACCGACCCTATCGCCGGCCGAATCGGTGAATCGAGGGAGAAGGGGTCGAACTAAGGAAGCGAGGGACGAAAGAAAAAAAAAAGCGGGTTTACCAGGAGGGTAGAACTCGCTTCGACCTCTTGGTAGGCCTCGATCGATGCCGTCGCCATGGCGACCTGGCTGGCACCGCGGTGCTCCACTACTGATTATTTATGTCAAAGATTCTCCCCCCTCCCTCCTGCCCGCTCTTCGCAACCCCCCTCCGAGGCACGAAACGCAAACGCCGAGCGAACTACCCCGGGCAGAGGGGCGAACGCTCGATCTGGCAGCCTACTAGCCTACCCACGTGACACTGAAGACCAAGGGGTTCAGGGGGACGGATGAACTGCGGGTTAGGGTGGTGGAATATGTGGACGGGAGCGAAGGGGTACGTAGCGAACAGTGGCGTAAGTTGCGGCAAAGAATCGAAGGGTTTCAATTTCGCGTATCAATTTTATCGATTTTCCGAGAGGATAATTTCGTGTGACATTTTACCGTGAATTTTAATATTATTTAAATCACACGTAATTTAATGAAAAACAGCACGTGACAATTTCGCTCTCGTTATAGTCAATGACGTCGCGACGTAGTGTCGGTTTCTGAAAATTGACGTTTCCGCCACTGCGAGCGGGAAGAAAGGAAGAGGAAGATAGAAGAAAACAGCGGAGGGGAGCCAATGAAATGCGCGGGTCAGAGGGAGAAGAGGGTAAATGGGCCGCGCGAGTATATAGATAGATGCGTTAAAGTCTATTCAGGATCTGGGACGAGTCCCTGACATTCATAAACAATCACTTACGGTTTCTCAACAATATCGAATAAAAAAGAGAAGGGAAAAAATGCCCTGCCAAAGAATGAAAATATAACATTAAATGCGTGTATCGTGAATACGTCGCGAACAGAACGATTTAATTAGGGACGTATTCTGCTCCAATTATTGACCATATTAATGAACGCAACAGTACAACGGCACAAATAATTAACAATGAGTCGGCGAGAGTGAGAGGAGAGAATATAAAATGGCGCGCGTGAAAGGAGGGAGAGAGAGAGAGAGAGAGAGAAAGAGAGAAGGAACGACTGCTCCCTGTGGGAAGGGTGCTTTCGACCCAGTTTCACCCTCGCAAGGTGGTGGCAATCGATACTGCGCCTAAGGGCTGCATGAAACGCGATCGCAGTGCTGCTGCCGTGCCAAAAGCGAAAATTGGGACTCGCGCGTGTTACATGGCGTGACCTGGAAATACACAATTCATTCTGATATTTCGATATTCATTATTGGCGCATTATTGACGATTATACATTAAGTCATTGAAATTTGTCATTCGGCACGTCAACAATTAAATTTTTCGCTATATAAAATAAATACGGTAGCTGTGTTGTGTCTCTAGTAACTGTCGCTTTTAGAGCATCGCAAAATGTGCTCGCGGCGATGCGCAAAACAATTTCGTCGGGCTTCATGCGAGCATGTGATAAGCGAGCGTCGTGAAATCTAACCGCCCGCATTTACAACGCTTTTATCTGCCACGTAACCGACGTGTAACAAATAACGGCTATCGAGACCTCGGTGGCTGATAGCGCTGCCGGTGGGCGGATATGCTGATCGGCCGCAATGAAGGAATGTTATGCGACCAAATTATTCAATATACGCGGTGCCTAGTTATTCACGCATTACAACTGTTGACAAAAAGTCTAAAATTAGATCTAAAAATTTAGATTACTTCCAAGAAGCTTTGTTGCCTTTGGCTACAGACAAAAAACGGACATATCCAAAAAATGTTCATCCACAGCTACGAATGACGTGTTGCAATATCGCCATCTAGTATTTTTTGTGAGCTAAAAGATAATTAAAGAGTACTGAATTACCAACTTGATAATAAATCTTTTTATCAGCTAATGGTTATTCATGTGTCTCTTTTATCATCAATCAACGAATGTATTTATTAGCCACAGCAAATGGACTCCCTATCGCGTCGAGAAAAATTTATAGCAATACCGTAGAAAATCCTGAATAAAATAAAATTTTATGTCCTAAATAAAATCTTGAATGCGACAAGGCATCCGTAGCCGTAAAATAAACATGAGAAAGTATGAATTTTACGGCAACAAACTTGATGGGTGTAATTTGTAACCCATATTTATTTAATTATATTAAATACATCGATGATTATATCTAAATCTGGAGCATATTGAAAATATAATACAGTTACTTGAGCGATTATTATACTAAGCACGCATGCAATTGTCCTCTAGTACTCGCTGCTTTTTGAGGTGCGACCCTGTCGACTACCAGTCTCATCACGCTATACGATGTAAATCGACCTAAATGTTTCAAATCACAGGATGCCGATAACACATCATGAGAGATCATTTCGTTCATTGTCTTTATTCTCTAGACATACAATCAGTTCGCTACAATCCAATATCTTCCGCTACCTCACACACTTTTTGTTGGTACCACAAATCGCGCAAATCTGCTATCGGACTAACGTCAATAATTAACAATTATTATTAATATTTACACATATATTATCATTAGTCGCTCGATATAATACAACCGCTTATACGTTGTCCGTGGCCGCTTATAAGTAACACTTCGCTCTTCGGATGCTCGTAGAATCTCGATGCTAAAATTGGAACACTTGATTTCTTAGATTCTTGATTTCTTAGGTCCATTTTTTTTGGTATTCTCTCGAAGCTCTTGAGTTTTAAGCTCGAAGATTTTTATGATTCTCGGATCTTTAGCATCTTATAATTACTACAATAGGTAGATTTTTTGTATCTTCTTGAATTCATTGAAGATATTTAAACTCAGATTTTTGAAATTTTATACGATAAAATTAGTGGATCTCTAGCACCTGAACTTTCAAGTTCTGAATTTATTGGAATTCTACTGACGAGGTTTTACAGATCCTTTGTACATTCCGCACAATCTCCCTATTTTAAAATATTCAAGATTTTTGTTCAGTAGATCTCTGAACTTTCGAATGTTGGGATCGTCAATTTCAAAGATCGAAGACTGCGGCCTTTTATTCGTATCGCACAATGATGAAAAATAAACAATAAAACATAAGGAACTTGATTAGTTCTAATCTGTGTTAAGTGTCTTGCACTTTTCAACAAATCACGTGCGCAAAATATCTGTATTAAGAGTCGCCTATAAAAAGCGAGGATTAATATCTCGATGTCTTTGCACTCGTCAAATCGATGTGAGGAGCGCAAATAAAATGTACAGTGGATTCTCGATTGCACGATTTACAAGACTGAAATTCTTAATAAAATTATAATTTTTTTCAAAAAAAATTCTTAAATATATTTTACAATTTTACAATTTTTTCGTGTAATCTTCAATTACATAATTTTTTATCATTTTTAGAGCTTAAGAGAGATCGTCAGAACTTCAAATTCTTTTTCCATCTGTCGTGCATTCGATAAATCCACTGTCAACATTTCATTTCGATATCGATATTATATTTTGCAGAAAAGCAAATCATTTGTAAAAGATAAATTAAAAGTATTATTTTTCTCCACAGATAATCAATATTATCCCTCTATTACTAAGTGTTTTTATCGTTTCTCTAAATTTTGTACATTTGCGAAGAAACTCGTTTCTCCGTGCTTTTGTCAGCTTTCCACAAAATGAGATCCAATTGCTCTTCGATCAAACACGTAAATATCACATTGAAAAAAAATCATAAATAGAGGCAACAGATGAGAACAGAGCGCGAGTATCATGCGGAATCTTGTATATGTATATATTAATGTCTACTGTCTATTCTAAGCTTTCGTGAATTTATCGTAGAAAAACAATAGCCAGCAGGGAGACGAAATTTACGCGAGACCTCATTAGGGTGTAGATATATTAACCATGGTTGTAAATGCTAAAATTTCTGAGAAAGAGAAATGGTTAAATCGCGGAGTCAAAGCTGAGTAAATGACGGTGAAACGTGTCATGAAATATTTTAAGACATACTCGACGACTTCTGGCTGTCGTTCTTATCGACAGCCGATACGTGATCAGGATTTTCTCCGCGTCCGAAACGCTCCCACATCTTCGTATACAGCATCTCCATACCCAGTGCATACAACTTGCAACAAAACAGCGGGCTCTCGGAACGGGCTTTCCAAACCTTTGCCCTTGTTGCTTTCAAGCTGGTAAACAAAACATTTCAAATTTATCATGCTGTTCGTGCAATGTAAAACATTACGTTTTATTTGCAGAAGACTCTGCAAACTTTACAGTATCAAAGTACTCACTATTCTCTGTCAGTGCCAAGCCTGACGGCGATATCTTGATACTCTTGTCGCGTTCGCGCGACTAATTCTGGGCAGCCGAGAGTATTCAATTGACTAGCGGCGACGCGAGAGGCTAGAGTTTCGCCTGGCAGCGTCACCACTGGCGTTCCAGTCCATAACACGTCCATACTGGTCGTGTGTCCGTTGCAGAGCGGTGTGTCTAGGCATACATCAGCCAATTGACCTCGTCTTACGTGCTCTTCTTTGGCGGCAACATTACTAAACAAGATTCTGCCAGGTGTCAGACCCAATTGCTGCGCCGTCGCTTGAAGATTGGGCTCGCCAACCGCCGGGAAACGTAACAACCACAGCACCGCGTTTGGCACGTGTTTCAAGATCTGAAATCGAATAGTGGGATATTTAAGAATACTTAACGAAAGCTAGATTCCGGCGAAGTCGACCGATCACCACTTACGTGCGCCCACATGTGTAGAGTGAGTGGATCGATCTTGTATAACTGATTAAAGTTGCAGTAGACAACGGCATCCTCCGGTAAGCCGTACTGCTGCCTGGTTGTGATCACAATGTTCTGAGGCACCTCTTCGCCCGTAGCGGTCTTATTGTTCACCTGTGTGGTGGCCATGCCGTTCTGCACGACGACACCGTTCACGGACATCTGACACTGCCCGGAGGCGATCATCGTCTCGATCGGAGTGGTGGTCGGCAACTCGGCGATCTTGAGCGAAATCTCAACGGGCTGTTTTTTATCCGGCACAATAACCTCGCGAATCTCCTTTATTAAAGTATTCTCGATCATCGGCGAAAGATCCGTGGCATTGATCACCGCCACGTTGTCCGCTACCTTGCCCTTGTGATTCGACTTGTCCGCCAAGATTAAGCGTTCTTTCAGATGAGGGAACATTTGCCTGAGAAAGAAATGCATTTTGTCAAGCTTTTGTGAATTGATATTTTTCAGCAATACGATTGCATAATGCTTTTGTACATATTTAAGATTTCCTATTAAATTAAAGTAAAATATTTCTTGTTTTCTCCCGTCTTAAGTTTTAATCAAATGAATTTACGTACTTGTGATCGCCGATGAAGTAAGTGTGCGGCATGTAGGCGAGTTTCTCGCTATATTGACTAGCAAGCTCTAGCGGCGAAGTAACCTCGTCTGTGATAAGATAATCCATGAAACTCGCGCCGGAAGTACCTGGATAGCCCAGCCACATGACCTGTATCGGCGCCGGTCGCAGCGCGAAGATCTCATTTCGGGCGCCTTTCGTGTAGCCGTTCATGTTCACCAGAATGTGAATGCCGTCGGCGTTGATGCGATCGGCAGCCTTTCCGTTGCACGGAATCTGCGACAAATCGACGAAGTGCTCGGACTCTCGCGCAATCTTCGCGCGGAAAGTCGTGCCGTCGTCCGCACTGAGTGCGTAACAGAAGATCTCGACCTTTTCACGGTCGTGCAAACCGGGGATCGATTGCATCAGATGACTGGTCGGATGGTTACCAAAGTCTGACGAAACGTATCCAATCCTCAAGCGTGCGGTGACCGCACGCGGATATTTGTATGGTTGCTTGTGAAGAACGTGAATCTGCAACGAAATTCAATCGTCGTGTAAGTTTTCCATCTCAGTCGCCTTCTCATTGCTACAAGATTTATCGAATTGCATGAATAGACTTACCTTTTCGATGCAAAGATTAGCGTGCCTAGCAGCGATAGCCTTTCTGAACTCGTGAGACAAAGGATAAAGCATGGAATGATGAGGATGCACACTGGGAAGTCTGTTTTTGTCCAACTGCTCGGCTACGATAGACACCAGTTTCTTCATCCTAGCTTCATAATCGGTCCAATCGCACACTATTTGCAAACAATGTGCCAGATTGCAGTAAGCATCAGGGAAGTCTGGTTTCAACTTCAGCGCCGTTCGATAGGATTGAATTGCCTCAGGAATGTTGCCGGAATCTTTGTGTATCGATGCTAAATTTGAATGAGCGTCGGCAAAAGCCGGATTGATCTGAATAGCCCGTGTATAGCACTGTAGAGCGCCCTGTATGTCTTGCATCTCCTTCAAAGTGTTTCCCATGTTTGAATAGGCATCGGCAAACGTCGGCTGTATGCGAATCGCCTCCTTATAATGCATCAGTGCTTCATTCAGTTTGCCTTGCTGTTGCAGCACAGAAGCGAGATTGCTATGGGCCGCCGCGAATTCGGGAAATACTTCCAAAGCCTTGAGATACAAACGAGTCGCTTCCTCAATGTAGCCTTGTTCTCGTTTTATGTTGGCCTGAAAAAAAAATTTTTTTTAAATACAGTTCGTTTGCGCGCACTCATTTCACATTTTAATGCCACGTTTTAAAATGCAATAATTACGTACCAAATTGTTAAGTGAATCGGCATGCGTGGGACAGAGCCGGAGGGCTGTGTTGTAACATTCCTCCGCTTCGGAAACTTGGCCCTTTTCCTTAAGAGCATTCGCAAGATTGCAATATGCATCTGGGAAATTTGGCTGAAGTTCAATGGCACGGCGATATGTATCGATTGCCAAATCAATGAGACTGCAATATCATATATAATTCCTTATTACTCTCATAAAAGAAAAAAAAGAAGCGCCTTGTCTCATCGCGTTCGCGTGCAGCCTGCCGTAAATTCTCACAGTAAATACGAAGTATAGGCTTACCCTTGCTCATAATAAACACACGCCAAATTCCCATGCACAACTGCATTGTTGGGGCTGAGATTTAACGCGCGAAGATAAGCAGCGACAGCTCTGTAACAATCAAGAATTGCAAAATGATCATTGATCTCTCTTTTTTTCTTCTCTTCGCGATAGAGAAAGATTTGGCTGCGAAAAGGTGAGGTATTAAACATGAAATTAATAACTATTCTTCTGTCTACAAAAAAAGAAATTAATTTTCAATTTCCACCGATTCGATGAGAACTGTGGAGATTAAGTTGCTAATACAACGCCCGCGGCTACAGAGACGAGTCTGATGAACCTTTTGACCAGGTGATGCCTGATCCAGGAGATGAATCCGGGGGCAGGTCGCGCGAGGGCCGACGCGCACAGCCTATCCTCTATCCGAACGCGAAGCCAGCACGCTTGGTATAGATCAACGTTCGACATATCAATGTCCGAGGGTGCCATCGTATAGATGATTATTTCTATCAGCCTCATCCGGGCTCCTCTTGGATCCGCGGATCGCCCAGAGTCCACGGATCCGAGTGCAAGGGAAGGATCCTCGACGGCGCGGCACGTTAGATGAGTGAGTCCTTGGAGGCGGGGGCGCGGGAAACCCCGGGCCTAAGGATCTTTGGAAGGAGGAACGCTTGGGAGCGCGGGCTCATGCGAGAGGCGTAGAAGCGAGGGTGTCTGAAAGCGTCGGACTCGCGGAGCTCCTGGATTCCACGAAGCACGGACCGTCGGATTCGCAGACTTGTCGGAAGTACGCGCGCCATTGCGGACAATACCTTTGGCTGATCCTTTTAAAACGCGGAACGTTACGTGCGCGAGGTCGAAGGCGGAATCCTTGGATGTCCTCTACGTGGATCCAGCGAGCGCTCTCTCGTCGCACGCGTTGAAACAGAAAGCGCACAAGCACGGATCCTTTAGGCGCGCGGATCCTCGAACACGCAGATCCATGGATGCACGTCCATTTATCTGACGTCTAAGGCGCGGGATAATCAGAGGAGCAGATTGCACAAGCGCGAAATACGCAGATCCTCGAATCCACGTGGATTCCAGGATTCATAGATGTCTAAGCCGGGAGTTGCTAACGCGGGAATTACACAAGCACGGATCCTTCGGCGCGCGGATCCTGGAAAGACGGATTAGCTCCGGCGGATGCTGACAGCTGGAGGAAGGTCGCTTAACTCACAAGCGAGCGCGAGCAAGATTCCCGTTTTCGGTGAAAGCTGTGAACGAGCACGCGTATCCTGCTACAACGGGGGGCGAAGGGCTCACCCGTGGGGGTGGAGCGGTTGCTGGGAATCGATAGTTGTCCTCGGATTCCTCCCACTTTGTGCGTAAAAGGATCTCCGCGAGCCCGAGCCGAAGATTTCAGAGGGTTTTATTATCAATCAACGGTTAGGCATTTCTTATAGGCATTTTGTCTTTGCTATATAATTACAGATATTCTTATATTATTACGAATCGATGAAAGAGACGATTAAAATGAGGGATGTGTAAAAGCCGAAATTACTTTTTAACGTTTTTCCGCTCCGATTGCTTGAATTCCCACGATAAAATATCAAATGCTTTTAATATACTCGAGAATTAGTGCTAGAATCCTCGAAGTAGATGGGCGGCCATGTGGGCGGTGCTGATATCGTGAGAAAGACGTCATAATTTCTTTTATTTCTTTGGCCATTCAGACGAATCTTGGCAGAGATCAATAGACTGGCAGGCGCCAGACGCGATTAAAGAGGACGAACGCGGAGATGAATACGTTACGTCGTATGGCGCGACATTACCGTCGAGGCCCCTCGAAACCGAGAATTTATGTACAAGGACAAGGCAATGGAAGAGCAATAATATGTAGATTTACGAATCTCGCGGAGAAATAAAAACGATATTAGACTAAGAGCTCCGGCGCCAAGTGTAAAAAAAAAGGTATAAAAATGTTCTACGGCCGAAGTTCGCTGTAAACTAATTAAAGTATCGATACCGATAATACGAAACACTTTGTGCACGACGTTCATGAATGCATCCTGCAAAGAACGGTGCATCGTCCGAATTGTCGTTCGAATGAGCAGAGAACGATGAACTTAAGAACGTTACATGAATATCGATTCTCGGTGCTTACTCGACAGCTCATGCGCTACGTACGGTTGTTTTTGTGTGCAACAACGTTGTGGAACGTGTGTGAGTTTGACGATCTTGCCGTTCAACACATCTCTTCTTTCAGTGGGCAACTTTACACAAATTTAGAAATATTGTATTTTTAAATTTGTTGCAATTTCCGATATTATATTATGTATAAAAGTTTACAGAATATATATTTATGACAAAAGAAAGCGCAATATTGATAAAAAGAACTTGTATGACTTTCGACCGCCCATTGATGATAACATCGATTACACATCAATGGAATAACTGAAGTCCTTTTGATCTCGCACAGACTTTAAAACCGACGACTATGAAGATTTTACGACGTCGATTGATCAACACTGTGCGTATATTATATAGTTCTTCGTACATCATTTTTCTAAATCTGTGTCACAATTGGAGAGCAATTAAGTTATAAAAAAATAGCAAATATATCTTGTGAGAAGTTATGAGATTCGAATTTTAAACTGAAAAATCTTTATATTGTGAATTTTAAGTATCAAATAGCCGTAATGTTCAAAATTACATCATGTAAGTGTAATAAAAAAATCGCTACCTCGTGCAAATAGATGAAAACTGAAATTCGCTATTAATTTGATCGCGTTCCTCAGCTATTTCGCATTACCGAAATTAATTGTCACACGTGACACCCGTCGCTTAAGATATAAGAAGGAAATTAACGAATCATCGATTCGCATGCAAACAAACCTGTCAAAGATCCTAGCTTCTTTCAACACATTCCCGAGGTTGATATACGCATCTAAGAAATTAGGATCCAAGGCGACTGCTTTCTCAAAATGATGAATGGCCAACCATATCTCGCCTTGAGCATTGAACACACAGCCGAGATTGCTCCAGGCGACCGCGAAGTCCGGTCGCGTCTCGATCGCTTTCAAATAGCAGGCCTAGAGAAACAGAATGCAGTTTACAGTAATTTCATTCGCGAACTCAAAGAGACGCGCGCCGCGCGCTATGCCCGACCTCCCATCGCCGCGCCGCAGCTTCATTCTCTCACCCTCGCTCTCTCACTCTCTCACTTTCTCTCGCTCTCTTTCGTACATTCTCCCTTTCTCTCTCTCTCTCTTGGTTTATCCCTTCATCATTGTTGTCGATGAAAAAATAATATGTTTTGCCACCCTGTCCTTTCTGTTTCCCTTCCTCGCACGTCCCCCCAAGCCCCATCTCCAAACGGTAGATGCTTTCCTTGTCTCTTTACGGTTACCTAAATCCCCCTGCGATTACTCGCAACTCCACTCGTAAGCTGGATTATTTTTCATCTTTTCAGATTTCAGGATTATAGATCATCTCCTTGAAAAATATATCGCTAGAATGCTAAAGTTTTTAAAACGTTCAACACAAATTATTTTTGACTTTGATGCCAATCTTTTCATGCATGCTAATTAAGTACTTTTTCAGTCAGTTTAATAATAAGCATATTTCGAGTCCTGAATCCTTTTCTGACGTCCTGTATAAATATGGTAATTTAAAACTAATATCACAAAAGAATAATAAACTTTACACCTGAAGCAGATCCGAGAAGACGACAGTGTCGTTAATTTAATCTAGATTTAAAGTATCAATCAGAGCTGAAATCAAAGCTTGGCGGAAAATCAAAAATCCATGGAAGATGTCTGCGAAAGCAAAGGTATGTGAAACCAAAAATCTGTGAAGATATATATATATATATATATATATAAATCCGCGCAATTTGCATATTAAAATTATACATCAATCACACTGAATTTTTGACTACAAAGTAACAAATAGATTTCCTGAAATAAAAAAAAAGTATCGAGAGCTAAAAAAGAAAACAATACAAGATATCCGGCGATCAGTTCTCTGCATATCGTTATTATCATCTCTCTATGATAATATTGGCAGTCCTTTCGTTACACGGGGATTCTTCCTTGGTTCTCTCAGTGTCGCCGATCTTAAGATAAGCCCTCTTCGCGCTCATCGAGGGCAAGAAAGAGGCAAGGAATGGAAACAGAGTGAACGAGGGTCGCCTCGTAATTGTGGTTAACAATGCGTTCTCAGATGGGAATCAGGGGGGGAGGTTTCGGGATGACAGGGTGTTCGAGGTGCGCGCTAGAGACGTCATCAGTGAGTAACGCACGACTTTCGATGCACGTGGAGTCCCCCGGAATGCGTCTAGCGGACTCGACTGCGCGTTGAACGTCGCGTCGCTGAAGTCGACTCAAACTTGTAGTCCGACTCTCGAGATTTACGCGAGAAATAATTTCGATTTCTTTCGGGCAGAAAAACAGTCAGAAGGGTTTGCGAACGGCAGAAGGATGACGACTCTAAGGACTCAGCATGGATTGTCATCGCGCGTGCCGAGAGGCGGGCTGCATTGATATTGAACAGAGTAATCCGTACCTAAACAATAAGTAAGAGGGCATTTACAGTTGACCGGTCTCTTGCAGGATGTGCGGTACCTGGAATTAAAGGAAAAAAATGGTGGAAAGGGAGTGAGAGAATTATTGACGATTCCATTGCATTCAACTGTGCGATATAACACAAATGAGTATCGTGCATTATAATTGTAATAGTGCGCTATTTGGAAAGAATTTAATATTGAATTATATAAAAAAATTATTTGATAAAAGTATTTCGATATTACTCAGCAAAAAAAATATAACATATTATTTATTATTAATGCAATATTTCAAAAACTGATGACAATATTTAAAGAATATATTTCTGAAAACTTATAAATTCATAAATCGCTCTTCGAAAATTGCTTTAGCGATAAGAATGATTACAGGAATAAGCGAAAATTATAGAACATTCTACATCATAAGAAACTATTTTGTTTTAAAATTTCTTCCAGCGAACTGATCTGCATAGAAATCTAGGTGTAGCCGTTGTATCGATCGTCCTTCGTAAAATCGCTTCGCAATACCTGGAAGGACAAGGGACTCTGCGATCCTTTTTGTCGACAGGACTCGAGAAAGGTATCGGAATTGTATTGGAAATCTTTTAGAGACCGGCCTTGGGAATTACTTTACCTGCAGTGTACCCTTCGGTAGGCTGACTCGGTAGGTACGGCTTGCAAGCTCTCATAATAAACTTAGACCGAGAGACAGTGTGTTACTGAATAACCAGATTCAGATTCACCCTTTGACGAAGGAACCTCCGCGGTAACCGACCAATCTCACATCGCTCCTGCACTTCCCCTCCTAGAGTTGAGTCATCCCATCCACAACAACAAGACAGCTGCGTTAATGTCTCTTCACTGATTAACTCTTCGCCTCAATCTTTGTCTTTTATCTTTTTATCATCTTTTTTTCTTTATTTTCTTTCTATATACGTGTATACACAAAAAAGTTTGGTAACACGCGTGCCGGCGAGCGACACGCTTCGCCGAGCTCGTCAGCCAGCTGCTCGTGTTTCACATCTCGAATTTCTCTCTCGCGATTCAATTGCGTTTCTCATTTCTTTTCTTCAACACTCTGTTACTCTTTGAGAGCAATACCAATACTCTAATTGGAAAAATAAAATCGCGCGGTCAACGGAATCTGCGTCATTTTATATTCACAGTAGACGGCTAAATGAGCTCGGCAAAAAACGGACGAGCGTACCAATCAGTTCTCAGGAATAGCGGGAAATGTAACGGGAAGCTTTCCTCGTTGCTATAATTTTCAGAACTAGGCGAAAGCGCATCCATAAATCGTGTCTATTAATAATGCGCGATGTACGCGGAGGCGTTTGTCGCCAGAAACAGCCGGAAACTGGACGGAAAGTGCATGTGGCATGTTACAGATGCGCTCTCACCGATTTTCGCCGCGCCGCGCTGCCAAAGTAGACCACTTGACCGATCAATAATCGATCATTGATTCAGGAAGCAATTAGTAAGTGTCATAAATCCCGTTGCTTAAATAATTTCATCTAACAACTTGTTTTTCTTTCCTACTTTTCGATTTTATCAACTTGCGTATAAATTTTATTAATTGTACTTAGAGATAGTATATTAAAGGCAATATATTAGTTCTTACATAATTCTGAAATCTTCGATCTTTTCTTCCACGCATAAAATTAAAAACTGTCTCTAAAATATTATCTCTAATAAAACACTATCGCATTACTAATCAATATGATGTAATAGCTTGCGAAACAACTCTGATCAAGTGATCTCGCGCCAATGTCATCGTACACACTTTAGATTCTCTCCCTCTTTCTTTCTAACATCTTCTACGTCAACGAAAAGTGCTGAAAAAGCACGCACGTGGTGAATGCACGTGCGCAACGATTAACAACAGCAGATCGCACACTCCAAACAAGAGACAAGATCAGGCTCATTCGCTACACTTCGCGCGCTGCCAGGCCCATCGGCATCGAGAATTAATTTAAAATTGAGATTCACTCCACGGATGGGACTGGCAAGACAAAATTTCATGATTTGCGGCAACACAAATTTCTCCTAGAAAGAAGCAGAACGTTCTTTCTTCTCGATGTTGCTGCAAAACGCGCAATGCGGAAGGGTGCTTTGTCTTCAATTATTTCGTGACAATAACCCTAAACATTATAAAATATTTGCTTATTTTCGATTAGAAAAAATTCTTTTCAAATATAACAATAAATTAACTGCGCAAAAAAATCATCGGAAAAACCAAATTCATATTTTAATATACTGGATCGAGTTTTAACTTATTTCCGACATTACATTTCTTTTGCACAAAGAAAAATCAGGTTTTCCAAAATATCCGGATTGAAACGCGTCTGTCAAAAACTGTTATATTGTTTAGGGTTACAACCGTCGCTTGATGTTGCTCCGAAGATTAAAATTTTGCTGGCAACATGAAACGCGATTCTTCAGGATAAAGGAACGCGCGCAATTCTCGATCCGCCGTCGAGAGTTCGCGATTGCATTTCCACATTTCGTAACAATTATGTAACAATATTCAAAAACCTTTGGATGATTCTACAAAGTCACCTCGACGACGGGGAATTGCGCGCCGCGCTTGCAAGTTGCTTAGCAAAGAGTGAAAGCTTCTCATCGCAAAAACGCGAACAGATTCCGCTCGGCCCGCTTATTTCACGGAGAACTGCGTGCTGTAGCTCGTGCACATACGTGCGATGCATTTGTACCCCGTCAAAAGACGTCAACAAAGATCCGAGGATGACGGAACATTTCCTAATTAGCGAGACGTAATTAATTAGAGTGAATTTCTCTGTTCTCCTTGATCTAGAGAGAAAACGCCCGAAAAATTTAATTATTGTCAATTTCCGTCGTTTCCGGGATTTAGGAAAGGGAAGGCTGATATAACTTTCGAGATAGGAGGGATACTTTTTGAAAATTTAGGCTTCTGTATGGAGCAATCTCTTAGCTCAAGGAGTATAACGCGCTGTTTCTAACTCGGTTCCGTCGCCTGCAGCTTGATCGAAGTAAAAATGCTCGCGAACATGTGCGTAACACGTTGGATTAGTTTATAGTTAATAAAAACAATTCTAAAACATACCTTGGCTTCGTCAAGTCTTGCTAATGCTTTCAAAAGATTACCAAGATCGCTCCGCACACAATAAAGGTCCTGAAACAAGCAAAATATGTAAATTGCTTCCGCACAGCTGACAAAATAAAAGATTTGATATAACGAAACATCGATTCAATGAAAAAAAAAATTCGTTAATATTTTCAATTCATAACGTAGTAATATTTTGCTGTATAAAAAACATAATTTGACTTAAAATCTTTTAAGCAAGATTTATTTTCTCTCTGCATTTTCAAGCCGTTTACTAAATCAAAGCTAATTTGCAATATGTTCGTAATGCCAATTTTCTCACGGGGTTGTATTGCAGCGCTGTGACATATGCTTGGACGGCTTGTTCCATATCACCGGCTGCTACGAGCGCCGCGGCCAAGTTGATGTAACCATCGATGAAGTCGGGCTTCAGTCTGACAGCATGACGATAATTTTCCAGGGCTTCCGGTAATTGTCCACGCTCTTTATACACATTTCCCAAATTACTGTACGCCTCTGCCAATAGCGGATTTTGTTTTATCGCTAAGCTGCTGTAATGCGCTGATCTGAAATGTGCAAAATTACATCTTTATTCCACATCCAGAAGAATATAATAATTTACAATATTTCCGCCAGTCTGCTTACCTATGCATTTAGCATATTCCACTTTTAATATATCTAATAAAAAAAAATAGATGTAATAAGAAGATACTCACTTCTCCAGTCTTCTACACTGGAAATGTATCGAAGAAAGTAGGAGAAGAACGCCTGTATTGTTTGTCTCTTGTCGCCATAACTGCATACAGTGCCTCTCGGCGTTCTCATAATCCCCTGCTTGATATTCTCTGTGGGCGAGTTCCAGTAACCCTAAAATAAGAAACAAAACAACGCGTGAGGTCACAAAGTTGACTCATATTGAATTCATAGTCGACAGAAGATATCTCTGTAGTTCGATTGCATTTGTATCTTTTATATATTTTGTTAAGTAGCATAAGCAGTTCATTAATGCAGAAAATATTTTCGTCGCTCATTAACGAGCAGATGGAAAAATCTTGTAACGCTGAAAATATGGATTTAGGATTTTGCACGGCTACAGGAGTGCATGCTTATTCGCCGAACGCGCGATAGTTGTAGGAATGATGTGCCATGACATTGCCGAGTGTGTAGAAAGGAAAGATATATACATGAAAAAAACCGTAAACGCTCCCCTTCCCTCCCGACTTCTCAAAATCAACGTCACTTAGGTACACCGAAAATAAATATATCCCACCATATATAAGCGCCAAATTATTGTAATAAAAATTCGGAATTAATTGCAAATGTGTACGAGTATTTCTAAACAAAAGACCGATCGACTGCGAACAAATCTCCAACTGTCACATCAATAGCCAATCGTTCTCACAGTCACGTTTCTCTTGGATAAAAAAAGGAGATATCCAAAAAATGGATGTACGAACAATAGTTATCCAAGGCCACGTTGATGGTCTGATTATCGGCAAGGCTAATCAGCTCCTTGCTCTGTGTGGTGTCCTGCGTGACAACCAGAAGATTCTGTCCGTTTTGCCAGTCGTTGTCCTCGTTGTTGTCCATGCTTGTGATCAGCGGCCCGTTCGTGCTTTTCAGCGCGCTGCCCTTCTTCTCCGCGACATGCACGCTCATTTTCGGGGCGAGAACGATCGCACGATGTTAAGACAAAAGGCCCCCTCGGGGCTTCCGATCTCAAAAACTTCCGCGCTTCGTCTGCTTCGACTCCCGGCGAAGATTCCAAATTAGTTTTTTGACCTGTCGGCTTCGACGCGAACCCAACTCCGTCCTCTGATAAAGTCGTTGCGCTCCGTTCCGAACCTTGCTACACGTACGCTCTGCTAAGCTCACCCTCCACTCCTCTACCGTTGCCTACCTCGGAGCGCAGGCAGCACGACGAACGAACCGATTGGTTGGTGCTGCAGCGACCTGACGCGATGCGCGTCAGAAAGGAGCGGAAAGAGAAGCAGGGGGCGAGGGTAGAAACTTCAGGAATGTATGTATCAGCACGGCCGCGAGGCGACGATTTTCTCCGTTCGCGTTAGAAATTTCTTTCTGGAGCAACATTAAATGCCATTCGAACATTGATACTTTAAACGTAGGATTTTTGTTTCAAGTTTATTAACTAGTTTTTTAAATTACCAATAAGAATATTTCTGGATTTTTCAATAATCGTGCTGCGCGAACACGCCTACCCGGAAGTGCGTTAATAATGCTTATTGTATGTTGCGTTTTTTCATCTCGTGCTTAGAGAAAAAAAATAATCCTTATTTTAAGCCAATTGCGTTTATTCTTTTATGTTATAACTGCTAAATTTACTGTGCGATTGATCTTATTGCCGCTACAACACTTTTATACGTTTCACAAATTATGTAAGTTTCAGAGATATAAATAGATAATAAGATCCTATTCAAATAACTATCAATAAACTGTATTTTCGCTGTAGAATTCGAATCTAAGATTTAGTTGTAAAGACATGCAATGTTAAAAATGAGAAAATCAATAAGAACAAGTTCTTCCTATTGATATCTTTTTAAATATACATCTGTGTAATGAATTAAACATTCTTCTAATTGAAATTACAACTAAAAAATTAATTTTAATTTTAATTGCAATCGTCTCGATATCACTTATTTAGAAATACAAGTTAAAATTTGTGCTGTGGCTCGCCAATTACTACACACGTCCTTGCCGAGAACCAAGCTCTAACGACGAAAGAGAAGGCTGGGCAGCGGGGAAAGAGAGGAAGGGAGATTCCCCTCCTGGTGCAGAAGGCAGATGGAATAGGTACCCAGTGGAATATTCCATTGTCGCGTTCAACGAAAAGGGAGGAAGCGGAGAGAAGAGGAATTCGTTATTGAGGGAGGGATGGCAAACCATGCACGGCGCCGGTGAATTTATAAAGAAAAAAAAAAACCGAAAGAGAAAAATACTTTTGTGCCGAACACACGGTGTTCGTAACCGGTGTCCGGCCAAAATGAACCGCCGGTATTAAAGTATATATTTACCCTTTGTCTGCACCATAAAAGTAAAGTCAAAAGGACGAAATAGAAAAAAAATCCCATATATATAAGCATAGAAAAATATGACTTACAATTAATTGAATTTTAATGTATGATGATGACATAAATGGGGATTATTATTATTACAACGCTGAACATGATGCTAAATATGCAAAATGTGAATTCAGATTCTACTTCACAATGTTATTAAGTTATTTTCTATTTCAAGAACAAAATGTGTTTGCCTTGATTCCAATAATTAAACATTATTTTACATGTAAAATTATCAGATGTTTTGTAATGGAAACTTCATCACAGTATCAGTTGAGAGACAAATTTATAATTTAATTTGCTTTATCTAATAATAAACAGAAAATATCAGAGTAATTTGATATGATTGTTTTATAAATTAAATTTGCTTTTCTTCTAGAAATAAATGTTGAGAGTGCTTGACCGTCGAGAAGCATTGGATGTCTTACATCTTTCCTTTTCCAACTGTTCCTACCTGAATTATCTTAGTAATTGCATGCAAAATGGCACAAATATACATATGATATGACCTCGCAGCTACATATATAGGTCTGTCTCTCTCAGCTGCACTTTCTTACACTATGTGCATTTAAAATAAAACAAATATATTCATAGCTTTGATAGAAAAAAAATGTACCAATTGTGGAAAAACGTAAAAAATGCTATACTGAGAATACAACATTCGCGATTTGGACATTGAAAATGCAAGAACGAGTGTAAGAGACAAATATAAGCGGAGCAGGTTAACAGGACGAAGATGCTTGCTCAAATTTCGCGAAACAGAAAGACGAGTATTAACGTACCAACAGTCGACAGTTGCTGGATCTCGTTCATTTTCAGTATCACGCTGGTTCCTGCTATCTGCTGATGGCCCTGCTGCTGTTGCTGTTGCTGCTGCGGTTGCTGTTGCGCCTGCATGACTGCGGCAGAAACAGAGACGAGCTGATGCGAGATGAATGCGACGGATCGCGAGTACTAAACTGACGCTCGCGATAATACGGAAAATCGTGTCCGAGATTCGACTCTTTTGAGAAAACTGCACAACAGGCCGATTTTCGACGCATACGTGAGCGCGATTCTCACGCGCGCGCCATCATGAATTCGTCGCGCGAGAGCGCCGGAAACTCGAGAGTCATGTTCGAACGTCTTCGGCGACCGATCGACAATGATGACAAAGATGAATAGAGCGTGCGCGAAAGAGAGAGGGAATATTCAATTCATGATCTTTGAGGTTAGCTTGTCGGAAGGAAAGTATCTTACAAGTACCTTACAATCTGGCTCAGGAAGAATGATCGTCTAATGCATTCAGTAACTTACGGATGTCTTCAGTATTTTCGGATAGCAAGAAATCGCGAAGGTCGCCAAGCTGTAGAACCAATCGATAATCCGTTCTTTACAGATGCACCTCCTGCATTTCTTCTCTCTCCTCTTTTTCTGTCTAATGCTTAATTATGTACTTATTTGATTCTGAAAGCAAAAAGTGTAATAGGAGCACCAGTAAAAGAAATAACTAGATAGATGTCTAATGGTGAATTCACTTGCACCCAAAGTTCAATACTTCAACATATTAGTTCCTAGGAAAACAAGTTTTTTATTGGATACTAGATGTTGAAAGATGCAATATGAATCGATCATAAAGCAAGAGTTGTGTCATTTGACAATTAATCAGTAGCGTATAAAACGGTATGTAGGACTTAAATTTATTACAATATAAAAAAATTATTTTATATTGCACATTGTTTATTATTATATCTTTATGATGAAACATAAAATTTGGTTTTGATAAAGAATTAAACAATAATAAGATTTAATTTTATTTAATAATTGTACTATAACATATCAAGATTCAAATGGTTAATAAAAAAAAATGGACAAGTGGTTCTTATCTTTATCTCACAATTTTGGTTCTTAACTAATCTTAATTGCAAAGTTGAGTATGCTTCGGAATTTGCTCGATATCTTATGCAATTGTTATTACTCATTAAAAATTGTAATCTGTGTAACTTTCATTCAGACAGATAATTTTATATTTTATATTTCAATTTTTATTAATTGAAAGTTGAATCTAAAATTTAAACAAATTATATATTTTATATATAATAATTTTATATTTTATATTTTATATATTTATAACTAATGGTAAAGTATGATATTTTTGAAAAAAAATATAAAACAATTGAAATATTAAAAATTCAAATAGAACATTTCCTATTCATTCCTATCTAATCTCTAGTAGAATGTATGTTATCAGTAGTAAGGTCATAAGATGCATTGCTTGTAAAACATGAGTTATCACTTTCGAAGAATCCATTGGAGCAACTGCACATGACTGAAAACTGATCAGGCAGAGAGGGATATGTCACGATCATCATGCGAATCGCTTAACAATGTGCTCAATGAGAATGGCGAAACGAGTTATGGTGGAACTATGGACAGCAGAACCAAGAAGAACCTTATCAATGATTTGGGCAATGAAAACAAACCCGAGGGACGTGTTCTCGTGCTTTTCACAGGTGGCACAATAGGAATGATGAGAAATGAACAAGGAGGTAAGAGTACATAAAATTTGTGTGAAATTATGACAGCTTCTTATCTTCATCTTTATCATATATTTTGCTGGCAATAACAAAGTGTTTATTTTTTAGCACTGGTACCGATAGCTAACGCGTTTGTCAAAAATCTACGAAAGTATCCACAGTTACATGATCGCGAGTATGCTGAGAAAAGGTTTGGCGCGATGGGACCGCTAGTGCTGCCGTAAGTAAATAAATATTATGTAAATATGATGTAACTTTGTTACACGAAGTTCTAAGAAGAATAAAAACAAGCTAACCAACTATTAAGTTTCTTTTAAATTTCTTCTGAATTCTATTAGAAATAATTTTGTTTAATTCTCTTCTTTCATAAAAATGAATTCTATTTCTAATTCGTACATTTATTTTCCGTTATTTCTTTTAGTAAAAAATATAAATTGCAAAAGTAAAAGTAAATTTTTTTGTTAATTTACGAAAGAATGTAAGCTGGTCTTTCGTACTTTTCTTTACACAATGTTAAAACGTACTTTCTTTTTGTTATAGTGTGACTGCAACTGACAATCGCCGGATTATTTATAGTGTACTAGAATACTCAAATCTCTGTGACTCCTGTAACATGACTATGGATGAGTGGATTCGCATTGCAAACGATATCAAAGTACATCGCTTAAATTACAATATGCATTACAATATATATTCAAAACACAGACTAATAGCGTAAATTTTTTTTAAGTATTTGAATTGAATTTAATAATATAACATATTAAAGTTCTATAAAGATCTATAAAATGCCAAAACTTGCAATTAGTAATCTTGCAAGTAAAGTAAAAATTTTATATTATATATTAATAATTATGAATAAAATCAGGCAATAAAATCTTGACACACAGTTTTTTCCTTACAGGAATCCTATGAATACTTCGACGGATTTGTGATTCTTCACGGTACCGACACTCTGAGTTACACTGCGTCCGCTTTGTCCTTTATGCTGGAAGCTCTGGGCAAAGTCGTCATTCTCACCGGTTCGCAAGTGCCGATTTTTGATACAAGGAGCGACGGTCTAGACAATTTTTTGGCGTCTCTTGTAATAGCGGGCAATTACAACATACCTGAGGTATGCGTGTTTTTCGGTACGAATTTAATGCGCGGCAATCGAACGAGCAAGATGTCCGCAACTTCCTTCGAAGCCTTCCATTCATCCAACTTTCCACCTTTGGCCACGGCAAACATCAAGATTGAAGGTTTCTCTAATATTATCAAATTTTTTTCTATAATTATTGTATACATTTTTTATCATTTCGATAACATTTTTCCGATAACATTTTATCTTTTTATATCTTTAAAGGAAATATTTTTTTACAGTCGACTATCGCTCAATTTTCCGGCCGTGCACTTTGGAGAAGTTCTACGTACATGCATCCCTCAACCGAAACGTAGGTCTTCTCCGGCTGTTTCCCAGCATCACGTCCGATCTGGTGAAAGTGTTTCTTCAGTCACCTATCGAGGGCGTCGTACTGCAGTCTTATGGCACGGGGAATATTCCTACAAATCGTGAAGATATTATCGAAGAATTTCGTGCGGCGGCAAAGCGCGGTGTGATAATTGTAAATATCACGCAATGCGCAAACGGATGTGTATCGGATGCATACGAAGCTGGAAAACTGCTCCAAAATGCTGGTATAGTATAGTTTATATTCTAATAAAAAGTTGAAAAATGATTCGCAGCTTAAATATAGTGATTGCACGACTATATTATTCTAAATAATATTGAAAGAAATTCTTTTTTAATTATATAAGCAATTTTATTCCATACTCTTTACATTATTTTACACTCTTTATTTTCTCATTAAATTTTGCAATCAGTGTAGAAGAAATAAAAATCGATTGAAAAATATGCAAACTTGCACAATGTTCACAAACAAACAATGTCAAACAATGTCAATATGCAAGCAGCACAACACAGTTATCTAACGACAGTTATCTAAACGTAAATATTTCTTCATCAACAGTGTCTAAAGTTTAAATACTTTTTCTGATAAATGATTACTCATTTATTGTTAATGTAGGAGTGATATCGGGTTTCGACATGACTCCGGAGGCCGCGTTAACGAAACTCGCCTATGTTTTGTCAAAACGTGAGTGGGATACAGAAACCAAGCGACAAATGATGCAAACCAATTTGCGAGGCGAGCTAACGGCCGGCCGACCGCCTACCATGCAGGATTGGGATTTAGTGGAGGCTGTGGCTAGGTCTTTGAGATTATCTTCAGCGGCCGAGCTTCAAGAATTGGGATCGATCCTATTTCCGGCTATGTTGAACGCCGCAGTAATCAGACGCGACATTATGAAACTTGAGTCGTTAAAAGGATACGTCAGTAATTTCCATTTAATTTTATATTAATCAGATACCATGTTGTTTTAGTATAAAAACAATGTAAAATTGCTGTGTATTGCATACGGATTATTGTTATAACTAGCTTTTTCTTTTTAGGGTGCGGACATCTCACAGATCAATGCAGATGGCCGAACAGCTTTACACATAGCTTGCTGTGAAGGGGATATAAATGTCGTACGACGTCTTTTAAAGATGGGTGCCAACGTTCATGTTAAAGATCGGTTTGATCGCACGCCTCTCACCGATGCAATCGAATACGATCATCACGAGGTGAGACAATTTTCTAATATTCAAGAATATTAGATTCGGAAATGTAATTCTATGAAATTCTATAGTATTTAAGATGCTTTATTGAAGCTGAACCGTAAAATAAATGGCTCAAAAGTCTTTATAGATAGATAAAAATGTAAAGAGAACATTATCTACGTATATAAATTACATTTATGTGAGAAAAATCTGATCGTAAGTTTCTGAGGTGTACTGAAAGATATTATCGTCTCTTTAATTAGTTTTAATTGACAAACTGGAGTCTTAAATAACTTGCACCATCAGTAGCGCTAGAAGTACGATTTCTTCTTTTCTAGATTATCAAAGTGCTGCTGCAATGCGGCGCGCATCTTCACGGCAACGCTCTGCTGATAGGAGCGAGGATGTGTGCGGCCGCGACCGCCGGAAATAAGAAGCGCCTGCAATCGTATCTGCTGTCCGGTGCCGATCTGTCGCAGAAGAACGCCTCCGGATGCACACCGCTACACTTTGCCGCTCTTCACGACCATGCAGAAACGATAGAATTCCTGCTGGATCACGGCGCGGATCCGTGCTCCATCGACATGCTGGGACAAACTGCGGCGGATCTCGCAAAAGCCGTACAAGCCGGGAACGCAATGCGCTTATTGGCGCCTTTCAAACAGGACGATAATGATGCCGACGACAATAAAATCGTGATGCATGTAAACGCAAGATCTTGATTTGTCGACAGTTTAATATCTTGACTTAAAATTTGCTATTCTTAAAAAAGGTTTAAATAAAAAGTCTGAATTAATTAATCCTGATGCAATTTGATATTTCTTTTTAATTTAATTGTATTTGTTATAATTATAATGTAACTTATACGTGAAATTTCGCAGAGGAATATGTACATACAGTCAAAAACTACACGTTTAGTTACTTTTAAATTAAATTATAATAACAAAACAAACATACGGTTGCAAAACTTTTCTATTGAATGAACATAGCATTTTTACAGCTAAAATATATATTACAATATGTTTACATAATTTGTTCCTAATGCTAAACGGCGCTGTAAAAAAATGAATCTATATACTAATGAGAATCTTTCTATCAAGATTTATAACTTTAGAATTGTTTATAATATACAATATATAATGTTATGATGAAAATATAATATATTTTTTGATAAATGTGAAGCCTTACAAATAATGTATATTATAATAAATTTTAGAGTGATAGATACAGAGTGAATGTCATAATATTTACACAATTTTATAATTTAAGACAATAATATTAACAATAAGAATATTTTTGTGATAATTTAACGATTGTGATCGTTTAACTTAATACTGATTTATTGTATCATAATCTAAGTTGAATTAAATCATAATAACAATTCCACCTTTGGATAATATATTTTTCATATACTTCCAAAATAATTAAGCTTTTTTTATTTTGTATTATTTCGTCGCGTCATTTTGCTAACATATTTCCTCAATTTTTACAAACATTTCAAATCCTCACGCATAAAAAAATAATCTTACTTGCACTGTCATAAAGAATTCAGAATTGTTTTATACGAAAAGCAGACGACAATAAATTGTATGGTATAGAAATCATGGTTGTTAAAACAGTGACTTTTCTACGACATTGTGTGAAAGGAAAAGTGAAAGCGCATCGGGGTGTCGTTTAAATACGTAGCACACGGTTTGTTGGGCGCGACGAAATTTCACACCTCGTGCATCGAGATAATGAAGATCGGCCATCCTGATGTAACTCGCTCATTACACCGCGAACGATTTCAAAATTGAGCATGAGACACATTTGACGGGCACTTTGGCAATGCTATTAAAATTTTTACAAAGTTCCCGACATACCATTTGCTGTAATCAGTAACAGACATGTGTGATAATAAAACGATGTATATGTATAATTTTGATTGATAATACCTTTGCATTTCGTTCGCGATGAGAACATCAGATCACTCCAAGTTGTACCATCATACTTTTAAGGATCCTCGGTGTCACGAAACACTCCTTGTACATGCGTCCGCAGTCATGATGTCCCTCTCGCCCCATCCTTATGGCTTCCTGAAGGACTGTTCCATTCGTGAATTCCTTAAACCACTTGTGACTGTTCCAGGTATTCGAAAACATTTCACGTAATTAGAATTCAATTTTTCACATCATTAATCACAGTTATTACAGTATGATTTATCCAGCTCAGTTTTGTCTCCCAAAAATTAGTTAAATCACTCATCCAATTCTTACAAAACTGCATATCAATTATTTATAATAGAATAAATTATAAAGAAATAAATTTAAAAAAACTGATTTAATTATTTTTTAATAAATTTCTTTGTCCAAAATAATTTTGCTCTATATTTTTAATTTCTCTCAAAATTAAATAATATTAAAAATAGTATTTTTTCTGAATTTTAATTTAATTTAATTTTAAGGCTTCTGGATATATTCGCCGCGGCCATGTTAGATTGTGACGTCAGAGGCGAGAAATGACACGCCATTTTTAAATAAAAAGATATTTTGATGATTGCCAACATGGCCGAGCCCTTAATAGGTTAATTTCATTATTATCTATTAAGAATTAATCATACCTTGATAAACCGTCAATGATCTTGTCGGTGCTTGAGGGATTGTCGGAATGACTCGCCTCGGAAACGATGGAGCAGACAATGCGTTGTACGCAAGGAGTGATGTAACTATTGCCAAGCATGATCTCGTTTATCGTTTCTCCCATTCGCGACCATTGTGAGTCCGAGTCTGTGAACAAACTCGCGTTTCAGATAAACATGCATTTAAGTGCATATATTTACAATATATTAATGATCGAATGTAAAGCAACGATTTTAGTTAAGATTCATACTTCGATAATTCATTGAACTCGGCTTCGACTTCGATAAGAGAGGCACTGCTAAGGTGACAAGGGCTGTTAATACGCCGGCGACTGACAATCCTTTCGTGTTAACTGTGACTAACGGTAACACCTCGCCATTCTCGCCTATATGATTTAATGGTAATGTGAAAAAAGGTACCGAAAAGTCCCAATTAACCTGAAAAAATTTATCAGATTTAAAGAAAAAATCGCTCATTAACAGAAATAATTACAAGACATATGCAACTACGATCTATTCGTGCACTAAAGAATATTTCTATACATTTCTATTGCGGCGAATTGATACTCACTTCAATCACTCCACCTTTCGAATCGAAAGCGATAAGTTGAGACTTGCGATTGTTGATAAACGGACTGTTGTGCTTCGCGGATGTTCTCGCACCGCCGTCGGCGATAACTCGCATAAAGCATAGCACAAGAGAGAGAAGCAGAGCAATTGAGTCTACCGGAGTGGCCTTCATATCCGAAATTTTTCTCGGACAGTTGAATTCAGTAAAACGTTAATACTTTCTCGGAATCCGGTGCTTAAGCGATATCTTCAACTTTCTGTCGTTCACGAGGTAATGAAATGCATTTGTGTTATCCCAGTTGCTTTTCAACAACGAGTGCAGCGAACTCCCACTGATGTCCCATCTATAACGAGCTCGCCCACCCCTGTCGAAGCAGGAAATACCGATTTCTCGCGACGGAATTAACGAACCTAAGCGGCGAAATCGTAGCTGCAAGATACTGTATCATTAGTCACTTTTACACGGCGACTCCGGGGCGTTAATGGCGGTCGCGCGCCCCCCTCATTCTATACGTGCCCCTTGGTGATTACGGCCGACGTTTCTAATGCCACGTAAATTACGATCGCAAAAATTTTCACCGCGCGGAGAAAGAGCACGTGCCGCGGACTTAGTCGCGCGGCCAAACTCGGCCGGCCGTGGCTTTCGGTGAATTTTCCGGAGCACCAGAGCGTCCAGAACGGACTCTTCATCGAGTTCGGGCCCGGGGAGAGCGCGACACGCGAGCCTCACGAAAGGGAGTCCCGCGATAGGAAAATGTTTACGGAAATTTCTTTTTCCCGAGAAATTTTTTTCACCGGAAGAATTTTGGCGTGCGATTTTCTGTAGCGTAAACTGCTAATTACATCGAGCTTTTGTGACTTCTTGCACTACCATTCTCTTTATTTCCGGCATTATTTTTTGTTTAATGACTGATTTGATCTTTCGATTTCTCAGAGTAACAATTTTTTTTTATAAAAATATAAAAAAATAAGATAAAGAAATTATATATAATTTACAGAACTCTTTTGATCCATGAATCATTCTTTCTTCCTTGATCTTCTCTAAATTTGTATATTTTTCACTACATACTTTATTTCTATCAAATTATTCGATATTTTGTACAAACAATGTACGATTTCTCCCTATTGAAATCATTAATTGCACGTGTACTAACTTAATTTAATGTTCCTGTTGCAGAAGACTTTATCTTCTTGTTCAAATTAGCGCAACTTATTAAATTGCGCCATGCAAATTTTAAAGCCACGGGAACAATTAAGCAGGACAGCCCGTAACTACCCTCGAGGTTGCGCGTGTTTCGTAATGCGATGGGAAGTCGTAACACATAAGGGATACCGCAGCGAGGTGCCGGAGATGTCGCGAAATCTCGTCAGAAGTCAGTGAACGTCTTAACAGGTTATTGTTGGCGGCCGGGCCATTATTTCAGCTTCGGAATTTCGAGCGGCGTGACACGGCTGTAGCCGGCTGCAGGAGAAGAGACGGCCTTCTTCGTCTTCGAGTGACGACGATGACGAGGACAACGAGGAGTGTCACGCACCGCGTGTTAACGTCCCATGAAGACTCAACAATGAAAGCGAAACCGCGGCTCGCAATTATGTCCACGACTTGTGTTCAGACGACCAGAGCGACTATATATGCCAGAAAGCAGAATCCGCGTAGCCAGTCCGTGACACTGAATCGCCATATCTCGTTCTAAGATTGACCTCATACTTCATCCTCGAGAGTTTGCTTCGCCTTTGTTGCTGCCAAAGGTATCTAATTCGATCTATGTTTGTATACTCGCGAGATACGTATTCAGTGAGTGCTTTTGACAATTTAATCGTCTCCATATATTAAAATATATTAAAACGCAACGCACACAGAGTGCCCGTATAACATTTTACAAAATATAAATCGTAAAACATTTTGAAAATATTTAATTGTAGAAAATTAATATATCGCCAAACACTTTCCTTTTCAGATGACGCTTTGCATTTCGCAAAGTTTAATTGTGACACTCGGTTGTTTCGCTGTCCTGGTCGGTTGCAGTCCGAAGTTCGACGATGGAGGGTAAGTCGCTCTAACAGTGTTTTAAATAATATACTTACATCATATATGTTCAATCCTTTTCAAACATTATAAGAGCGCAAAGCCTAAAGAAATACCCGCCTTAAAAATCAAGACATACGTTTTAGATCTGTTTTATTTTTTTATATCTGATTTCTTTATACAATGTAATATTTTTATCAACAGATTTGTGCCGAGCTCCATTAGTTACATGGAAAAACATGGAAAGGCAGAGGATCAAATAGCTATGCCGTCTTCTCAGATTAAACAGCGTGATGAAACCCCGAAACGCGAATCCGAAACGAATGACATCTCAGATCGCAATCAAGAGGCGCGATTTGGCTTCACGAATATTGGAAGTACCGGAAGCGTGAGTATTGAAACAGGATTCTTTTCTTGCGTCTTCTGCTATAAACATTCGTGTATAGTACCAACTTTTCTCTCTCTTATTTTCCTTTTTTTTCTATTTTAGCATAGAATTTTTAACTGATAAAATTCAACATTATATTTTTCACAATAAAATTAATTAAAAATTCCTTGTTGCATGGTTAAATTAAATTTGTGATCCATTTAATGAATTAGGGTTACGGCGTGTCGCCTTACGCACCGGCGAAGATAGACCTTGGTGGACTTCTCTTAGGAGCCATCATAGGCGTGGGATCGATTCTCATCATCCCAAAGCTGCTCTACGTTTTGTCGGGCACTTACGGCACATATGCGAGAAGTAAGTTACATATCGGCTAGATATATCCCAATCGTGCATTGAGATCTCATAATCCTTGTCTCGTGAATTTCTAATACACTCCTGCGATTGAAGAAATTGCAAGAAAAGAAATTATGTCCATACAAATTCTTTAATCTATTCGGACAACATTATATCTGTGCAATCGATCCGCTGCAGGTGAGGACAATAGTTTTACCCAGACTCTGACAAGGATCGACGATGTCCTGGCTCGTCACGGCATCGACACGACCTCGTGTATGCAGCGCGCAGTATGCACGTATTCGCAGCAAGCGGCCACCGCAGTCGGCGACGAGAACGCGAACGCGAACGAGAGCGAGAACGATCAAGAAGAGAAGACGTCGTCCTTCAATAGAATGGTGAATACTATCACTACCAACCAGGTGTTCCGCACTGCCATGCAGGGTACGGCGGTCGCGGAGGCGGTGGAGGCCGGCAAGACGGGCAGGAGCTGCTCGAGATCGTATCCGCACTGCGGATTCTCGATGGAGACGATGCTGTCGCTGCTGGCCAACGTTATCGCGGCAGCAAACACCCGCGTCCCGACACCCACCGGTCCCTCGTCGTTGTAATAGTTGTAATTTACATAATCTTTATCTTTCTTTCGAAAATTTAGAGAAAATAAAGGATGATTTGAGGACGATTGTAGTCTACAAATAGCGGATTAAATCAGAGAAAAAAGAAATATTAAAAGAAGAAAGGAAAGAAGGAAAAAATGCGTGAACGAAGGAAAGCATGAAAAATGATAATTCTCTATATCGACGTTGCATTTGTACTTTCTGCGATAAAACGCTGTTAATAGAGTTTGAACGCATAATACACAATACGTTTCGGGGAGAGTTGTTCTTAAAAATATGTCAGATTGATTCGTACAACGATAGTCTCATCTTTATTTTGTAGAGAATTACATGTGTGTGTGTTTGTTGTATGTGTGCGTGTTTGTGTGTGTATGTTATGTGTAAAGTGAAAATCCGTCTCTCGAAAATTCCACTCAGCGTGACACCATCTCCCTCGTCTACACGTAGAAAACGTTATATACTCTATATAGCTTTCACATTGAGGAAAATAGAATCGACTAGAGTCGCGATACGGTCGCAGCGCATCGCCCTTAACACGTGTCAACAATCAGTACAGGCACTGCCCGTGACGACGACGTCGCGTTTACTTACACGCGACACTCTCTCCGGACAACAGCGCACACACACACACAGCCGCGAGGGTGAATTGTAAAGTAAAGACACGAAGGGTTTCTCATTTTCATTCTTTCAACGCGTTTATGTAAGGCAATTTCTCTGACTTCATTTTATTCTATTCTATTTCTATTTAAATGTTAGCAGCTGGAAAGATAAATTAGTCAAAACATAATTCTAATAGCTGCTGAGATAGACGAGAAGACAATGACTCGTAAATTAGAATTAGTGTAAAGTGAACGAATAAAACTAATAAATCCTAATTCCATTTTTTACGTTTTCTTTTTGTAGAAAATACGTATTTTATGTGTAGAAAAATATCATTTCTATGTGTAGTATAGATTACTTTCTTTATCGACTATCAAGTGTACATTGTAAAAGTATAAAATAGAAGACACGTGTATCTTTACTTTCTCATCCACTCTCGCGTGTTCTCACAGCAGGACGTTCATGTGCGAGGTCTCGATTCCTAGGAAAAAAAAAGGCTTAAACTTATATCCCTACGCTTACATTCCTCTTCTTGGTGTAACAAACCAGACGAACATCAAATTACATTCATATGTCCGATGAGAAGAAATTAAAGCTTGAGCTTTTTATATAAAAAAAGAAAGACTCATGAGGAATGTAGTTATGTCGAATACAATATGCTTTTGCAAAATTCTATCATTAAATTGACATCGAAGAACAATATGTCTTAATTGTAAATTAATGTTGCAATAGTGTTGCACAACAGTGGTGTTAATATTAATAGCTAAAGATAACAGGGGACGCTCGCGTGAATAAAAAGCACCACTCTCGTACGAGGAATCCTTCGTTGCTTCAACACGCGCATTTCAAGTATTTTACGTATCTTAATGTATTGGTCCTTACAAACAGGTCCTTACGCGATTTAACAAAGCATAATGAAACATCCTAAATCTTCGTGCAACCAACAACAGATCTTTCGGAATGTCAAGAAGTGCGCTTTGGAAATATTTTATTGCATAATATAGACAGCGTCGTCGGCTTTATAAAATTCAACATTATCACAATTTCAGCAGTAACTGTAATTATAATAATAATTCTCTTCCAATAACTTCACTTTAAAGCTTTGATATTTACATTCAACGAAGAGATTCAACGCTAACGTTGAAGTCTAAAAAAAAGGAAAGAAAAACTTCAAGTATCGATGTCGTCGTTTTTCAAATTATGTCTTAATACATAGTTATTCAAATGAGCAAGAACCTGCCCTTCAGTTTCATGTTGAATTGCAGGCTCATTTATATTCCGTCTATGTATTTTGTCCGCTTAACTCGATTTAATACTGTCATTGAATTTGCTTTACGTGTCACATCTTATTGCTAAATGTGTATTATCGATAAATGGATTCGATTATATTTCTCCTCGTCGAGTCGGTTCTGCCCTGAGAACCTGTCCTCGTATCTATTGACCATTCATTTTTAGAAGAATAAGAATCTCTGATATATATATGTACGCATTGTGAGACGACCAATCGAGCAGCTTTTCTACGAAATTATTCACGCACCTTTGCGACGGAATGAGTTTCGTAACTTTCTTCTACAATTAATTAGTGTAGTAATTTAGTCCTTAAAATTTATTTAGCAAACTATTAGCTATTGATTATTAATCAAAAATTTCGATGCAGATAAATAGATATCATAAGTGCGTAATTTTTTTCAGAAGTATTTTCGTGGCATAATAAGTTTCAAAATGTTTTTAATTCAAAATACATAGCCAAAATAAACCGGCGCTTGATTTTTTTTCATATAACAGCCGCCGACTCGTCGATGACATTTATTTTAATAATTTATTTTAATAATTTTCCCTGATGTTTCTTTGGTTACTTACTATCATACATCTCTCGAGAGAGAGAGATTTCTGATAATATTTCAGGTCTCCTAGACATTTCTCCTGGACGCACGCGCGATTCTGCGACCATCACTTCATGTACTGTCGCTTCGGCAGAAGTAGAATAACGCCTATGGCTACGCACACGTGCCACAGACTGTGAACAAGATAATAATTCCTGCGCGTCTGCAGGAAGGCATAGCAAATCAGGCCCAGAGCAACGAGAATAAACCCGGCCGGAAAGTAGATAGTCCTAAACACAAGAGAAGTGTTACGTTAATACAATACTTTTGTGAAGAGAATGTATGCGATATATGTATATTATATTTATTTATTACATAATTTAATTTTTTATTTTACTCATTTTATTGAATTTTATTTTAATTGACCAGTTGAGTGGTAATGTATCATATATGTATGTACAAAAACAAAGTGCCAAACGTGGTAATGTATCATATATGTACATTTCTAAATAACTCCACTAATTTTCGACAGATTTGCATAAAACTTGATATCCTAAAGTTTTTTGGACTGCTGAATTCGAATCTGTTGTCAAAATTGCAAAATTTAAAATGGCGAATCCAATATGGCGACTGTTAATTGTTAAAACGACTAAAATATTAAAGTTAGGTAAAATATGTATAAGACCTTATTTGTAGAGCTTTTTATGAGCTTCATTTTTTGTTTGACAACTTTTTCCATACAATGAATACTTTCTGAAATAATTAACAAAAACAGTTTTATTTTTGAACCTTTGAAGGGGGCTGGGGGACGGAGGGAGCATTTGCGCCAAAAATCCATTTGGGAATATTATTTACTAGATAAAATAAGTATTTAGGCTGAATATAAGCCAAATCGGAGGTGATAGCTTTTGGGAAGTTTACCCCCCTTTTTTATATCCACCTCCACTTTTGACTGGAAAATTGTAGTAAACATTTTCAAAAATCATTGTAGAGGGCGTAGAGGGGGGATCCACACCCATTCCGAAAAGTTGCTTTTTCGAAAACTTTGAACCCATGTTTCACCGTTTTTCGATATTTTAACTTTTGGCTCTTACCACTTTTGGCACAAATCTTTCGGAAAAGTCTACCACTCAACTGGTTAAATATATAGATTAATTTCTCTCTTTTTTTTTTTTATTCTCTTCCAGACGGTTCTTACCTATATGGACGCAAGGGATATCTGACGGTCCGCTTTCTGCGGCACTTGAGTCCCCAAGACAGCCCGATTAAGGCAGAACCGGTGACGGCCGGCAGCAGGAATACCCACAGCGCCGTGCGATCCATCTCGGCGCCCACGGCGAGTATAATCGCGCCGGTAATTTGACAAAAAGCGGTCAACCGCGGGCCGAACGACGCCATCGCTACCAGGGTCACCCAGATGGCGAGGAGCGCGTTGAAGAAATCGCAGAACTGCAGCACGTTCAGCCGCATGATGCACACGCCGTAGACATTCTCGCCGGCCTCGCAGGCGTGGTAGAACGTGGAGAAAAACATGACCGCAGCGTAGGCGACCGCCTCGGTGAAGTACTCGCGTCGTATCGCCACGTAGACCGAGCCGAAGAATGCGAGGTTGCTGAAGGTTAGCGCGAGCAGCTGCAGGAGGATGCCGCTGCTGCTCAGAACGTAGGTGGCATCCGCGCAGTCGAAGCCGCGATAACCACCGGTGCAATGGCACGCCGAGAACACGAAGCCGCCGCTCATGTAGTGCATGCACTTGCCGTGACCGCCGCAGCGTCCCTCGATGCACGGCGACGACGACACGATACTTTCCACCCGGACGACGGCGCAGCGCGGCAGACAGTCGCATGCGGCTTCGCAAGTGGCGTTACCGCGCAGACAGGCGCGGCCGCAGGGACAAGCGTTGCTAAGGCTGGCGTTGCTTTTACCGGTCGTTTCATCTTCGGCACAGAAGACGCGTAGACTGATGTACCAGATCCCCGGCTCGGGAAAAGGTATATGCACATAAGCCGGCTCGGTCGCGTTGACGTATACGTCCGCCGTCGTGATTTCTTGCGCGCGGATGCACGCGCCACCCGAGGTAATGTTCGTATAATAACCTGCAGTAATTTCAGGGAATTAAAGAGAATAGAACTGTGATTAATTTTTGTCTTGGACATTGAAAAGAAATCGATCAATGGACAAGGACATGCGAACTAACCTAAGGAAACGCAAGCAACGAGAATGATGTCCTTCTTGTACTTCTCCTCTACATCGACCAGCTTGAAGCCTAAAGTGATCGTACCACCGACATCGTACACTCTACCGATCTCGAAACTAAGCACGGAGAGAGTGTCAGCGGTCACGTTGAAGGGCTGGGGTTTCGTATCGTTGCCGTGCAGATGTTCGTAGTCGAATAGGAAGAATTCCGGGAAGGACTTCCTCAATAGTACTACCGGCGTCACCTGATTGACTGCGTCTGTTCGATGCTCACGGCTCGTCGGCAATCGCATCGTCACGTTCGACGTGTTTCCCGAAAGCAGACGAAGAGTCACGTAGTGGAAAACGCCGGCGTAAGGCCTGAAGGACAATGACGTCATCGTTGAATTGATCACATCGTCGACGAGGTTGTCCTCCGCCGTGATATAAATGGCGATATCACAGTCGTCGCAGGACAATTTCAAAGACAGATTCAATTTTTCTAGACCGACATCCGGCACAAAATACTGCACTACCGCTGTGTCGGAGGTCTCGTTTAGCTGCACTTCATACTCGAACTCAGAATCTATCAGAGACGTCGTCGTCGGCGTTTCCACAAGCATCTCGGCGTCCAGCATTGTTTCACAGGACGCGCTGAGACCTACAAGCGGCGAGTTTTTATCAATTCCAAAGAGCACTAAAGTGTGATTTTATTTCAAGTTTGTCAAGCTTTGCAACACAGGTTATTTTATTTACAAATAGCGAATATAACTATTTTATTGAAAAATTTTTTAAAAAGGATATTCTTGTGAACAAAATTTCTGCTAGATTTTAAATATTCTTATTGTGTTAAAAATATTTCTGCTATATCGGATATCGAGTTGCAAAGATTTCAAACTTTTGTCACAAAACAAAATATGCAGCATGCAAATAATCATTTTGTTTTGTTTGCAGAGAATGTAACTGCGTCTTCTACCTTGTTGCTTGATTTTTTCTTTGTCAGGATCGGTCCAAGATCGAAAGGCAATCGCATACCAATCGCCCGGCGCCGGTGCCTCTATCTTGATCATATACTGATCGCCGTCGCTGTGCATCTCCAAGTTGTGATACTGCCGTCGTCGACTCATCTCCATCAATTTCGCGGCCACCTTCGATCCATCAGGACGGACGAACGGCAAGCTGCCGGATTTCAGGTACAATGAAACATTGCGCGGCGGGCATTTACCTATCCCGCCAGTCTTCTCTTCTTTCGCCGTGAATCTGAAGCGCGACAAAAAATGCCTTGATGTATGAACAACTCGGAAGAATCAGAAAAAAACGTAAGTAGAATTTTTCAGATCACACATGCTTGTCTAAAAAAACGTTCCTTAGACACATGCTGTCCAAGATTCCAGTAATGTTCTTTAAATCAGCAAAAAGATTTACATTTTTGCGCTTAGAATAAAATATTAATCAATAGAAAATAAGAAATTTATCATTTTCAATTGTTATCGAAGTATGCGCATTAAAAAGATATTCAGTTGAGGACAGACGTTTCGCAATTAAAATGTTATATTAAAACATAAGTTTTTTTGCAGAGACATAATAAACACACATACGTGCATGATTCTGAACAATACATACTTGAAGACGACCACGACAACGCGTTCGGGAACATTGAAGTGAATAATTGAGACGTGACGATAAGCGGAATAATCCACCAGGGTGTTGCTCGGTTGTTGGGCGATCTTCTCCAACTTGCCGCACAGTCCTTGCTGGGCCGCAAGTGTCCATGCCAACAGCACGGCTAAAGCGCTTTTTCGCATATTCCGACGTCTTGCTACATAAGGAAGGTGTCCGCCCCGTTCGGAAAGTTTCTGCGAAGAAGTTTAACTTGTAACAAGAAATTGTAACGTGCATCGCGCGAAAATCGGTAGATGAATTCTCTTGCATATTTATATAAAAGTGTATCTAAGGCTATTCTGTCTTTGGAATATGTCTTTTTTTTATCTAGAAGGAATTTAATTAAAATATTTAGTTTAAAAAAGGATGGGAATGTAAATCCGTTTACAGGTTGGGAATACGTTGTCAATCCTTATCTGCATTGAGTCTGTAATCGACATTTTATAAAGTTTCATATATGCTTTGTTGTACGAAGTATTGATAAAAAACAAGAAAAATAGAAAAAAATAGACTTTAAACTATAAGCCTAAGTAATTTTTTGCTTAATCTTGTTTTTCTCGTTATTTCTCTTGTTGCAACACTTTAGATAATTTCGATTCGTGTATAAATGCATCTTTTTAAAGGATTTTTAAAATTTAAGTAGCCGATGTTATAAACGTTTCTATTTTAATGTTTCTATTTCCACCGCTTTCGTCCTTTTTATCGCATTTTCAATCGTATAACTACATATAAAAAAATCGACTCGCGCTTATTCTGTCCACAGACGAGAACGCTTCTTCGGGAACGCATTTCGCGATGCCATAGCACTCTCGAGGAATAGTTTCAATATTCTTGAATGAGAGGACTGAGGCGTATAATATTCATGAGACTCAGTATCATTCAATCACTACTTAATGGAGTTCGCGATGTTCCTTCGTGCTCTCGAATAATCGCGCTCAGAAGTGATCTAAGTGGACTGACTTCTTGTGTGCACTCTGGCGGATAACTTTTATAGAACTCATTTAAAAGATTGAAGGAGTAGAGGAGATTCGTATATGCTCGGTCAAGTAGGTCAGATGCCACCGCTAATTCACACTTCCTGCGGCAAGAAACAATAAGCTGCCCGCGCGCTCATCGTCGAAGAAGCGTGAATGACGTTAATGTTGAGTGTCGCGAGCCTATTTCTTTCGGTTCATCGCTCGCTCGAAGTCGTTTCACATCTCCAACAAAGTCCGCGCGGACACTCAATCCGCGATTTTAATTACCGCGACTGATTTAGTGGAAAATTAAAGTCGGAATTATAAAGCACTGCAGATTCAATTTGAAACTGTCGAAAGTCTCTTATTTCCATAGATGCAAAGGGGAGCGAGAGAACAAAAGCTTTTTTTTTTATTAGCAATTATCTTTGCGTAACGAATAAACGGCGAATTCTTTAGCGCGAGAAATAAATTGACTGTCATGCTCTAGGCAAAATAAAATTTTTGTGCCACAGCAAAAATTAACGGATTAAAAAAAGCTCGAATTTGTTGCATTAAAAAAAATTCGGATTGCATTTCATCGGGAATGCGAAATGTTTCACAAAGCAACTAAATTTTTTTTTTTTTTTTGCTATACTCTTTGCACTATCATGTGCGAAATATCATATGTTATTCTTGCAATAAGGAGACATTAATGAGTAGCAAGCTGGCATGCTGACACGAGGCGCACTGACATGCAATGATAACCGGATCCGGTCGGAGGATCCGCGATTGCGGAGGGAGCCTTGCATGTATCGCGAACTAATTAATCCGAACTGTCCCGGTTGCGAAGCTACTGAATAAAACATCGACAATTGATTTTCGATATCGCAAAACCGAGATCGGATACCGATAAAATCCGCTTATCGCATTTCGCGGCGAATCGCCGGTGTGCGGCTAACAATAAGTAATCTATAATTATACACCTACGCAAAGTAGACCACACGACATCGTCGTTACGCCGGCGGAAGGTCGAAGGTGCATCCAGCATCTTCGAACGTCTTTGAACGAGTGACACCGTGACCGCGCAAAATAAATTATTTAATTAACAAAGGAAATCTTTTACGAATACAAGAACATTAAAGGGAATTTCAATCCGTAGTATTTATAATCAAGAAATGCTCCTGCAAATTTAAATTCTCTATTTGCATTATATATATATTTTCACTCTGTAATAAAAAGGATTAAAAGATGTATTTTATTATAATCGCTGTAATTATTGATCGAAGCAATCTATCGCTTAGTTTTTCTGATATGCTTTAATTTATGTATAAACCGGATTCACATTTGAATCGTCTTCCAAGATCGTTATATAATTTTTTGTATACACTCTACGATATCTTAAATAAGCAGCTTAATAAGTACATAATTGTTAATTTCCTTGTGTTATGTTTATAGTTAAATAATAAGTTTCGTCACATTTCAATCGACAATCGCAAAACGAGATTACCTTTATCTTGCTCTTGACATTCGAGTGACCATCTGTCAAAGCTGTTCAAACTTACTTTTCCCCGCAGGCGATTCAAATACTTTAAAAAACAATTTGCATTTGTAAATTCGACGAAGTCGTGTAAAATCACAAACGGCGATTTTCCTTTTCTTATTGCGTCCGACTTCACAGTGAAATCACGCACACGAATACATGTCACGCAGTACCGTCGAAGCACAATCGCGTCTTTCCCTCGCTCACCTCATGCACGGGCTGTATAGCGCGTCGACGCGCCGAGCGCGCAGTCGTCGCGACGTTCACGACGTCCGCGAAAGGAGCACCGTGAAGACCCTCCGCGGAGACACTGTCGTAGCGCGATCGCAGCAACAAGTGCGTGCGCGATATCGCTCTGCGAGCGGAAAGTCGCACTGCCTTATCGCACGCTGCCGTATCATCGGTTCGATTACACTAATAATTTCGCATCCCTACCTAGTCTCGCGGGACTGCAATATGTCGGATACGAGCGGTCGCACTGCTGATTGCGGCATCCGCTGATGCACACCAGCGATGCTGGACGCGGACCGCCAGTTCGTCCGGAACGATTTGTCCCGCGGCGGGCCGCCAGCGCGATAAAACGCGCACTGGCCGAATATCGAGACACGTTCCGTCCCTCGATGTGGTCGTGGTCGTCGCCGTCGGCGGCAGCGGTGCCGCGAGGGGCGACGATGCGATACGCGTGCGTCCCCCGCGCGTGTCACGGCCGTTGTCACGATAAGGCGCGCGCGCGCGACAAGCCAGAGCTTTCGAGCGCGGAGCTTTCAAATCCCCGAGCTTTCCAACTCGCAATAGTCAAATTCGAAATAACTCTGAGAACAAATGTTTTGGAGCATCCTTCAATTTTAACCAATTTTTTCATTCTAAAGCTCTCAAACTTTTTGCCAAGCTTCTTTTTTTTTATCTTTTACGGTTTTTTTTTCTAAATTTGTTATCCTAATAAGAGCTCGAAGTTACTTTTCTGGGGCAAAGTTCACGAATAATGGAGCACGCGGATGACGCACCGCCCGCCCACGTGCTTTCGTCATCACAGACCTCCTACAAACTCCTACACGCGCGCATTCGAGCCGCTTTAATCGGCTCGTTTTATCGATCCGCGTAACAATTTGCGATTGGCAGCTAACATCCGGCTGGATTCCGGTAAATTAGGATGATCGCGTTGCGTAAATTGGAGTTTCGCGAGGCTGAAACACGCTTCGCAGCGTGTAGCGCGTTAGCATGATTTGCCCGCATAAGTAGCTTTACGGCAGACTAAATGGCCGGGACTGAGTGTGGTGATGCTTATTCCGAGATAAGTGCGTCCTTATATGTGTGCGTTTCGTGTCATTATGAATAGATCATACGTTGGCGGTAAGATGACGTTATCACTGAGCGATCGATCGGACATGCCACGAGTGTTGGAAGACGTTACATCATCTTATTTTCCTATTAAACCAGTTTAATAGTCTATAAATAAACTAGTAGAAAATATCATATAAATCATATAAATTTGCGAGTTATATATCTCTATATATATGTAAAAATATAAATTAAAAATATAAACATGGATAAAATGAGCATTTTGCAATATCTCAGTCATTTTCAAACATATAAATTAACATTTTGCGTAATTAAGTACGTATATAAAATATTTTGTATTACGATTAGTCAGATCTTAAAACTCCCAAGACTCCATCCATCGTAAAGAATGCATCGAGCTTTCAGGATCCATGGCGGAAGGACCATCCATCCCATAAGCCAACGGCGAAAATAGATAAAAGCTGCAATTAAAATCAATTAAAAATTTATAATCAAATATTTTTATATTACATTTCAAAGTGAGATTAATATTCGAGCAAAGAACGAGTTGTATGCAGTACCTGTATACAGTGCCGGAAATTACGGTTCCCAGAATCACATGGTAAACCGTATTTCCTAATTTACTAGGAAGTAGCATTAGCAAGCTCTCGATAATGTGATTCAACGTAATCCCGGTCAGCATGGAGCTGTACAGCAACGCCGGAAAGTAATGGTGGAAGTATAGCACTCTGGTCATCGCCCAGAATGGTACGTAATGCAGAATCCATCCTAGAAACAGCCACTTGCCAGCGTGCGTTATCTTATTTCGCTGCTTGAGCACGATAGCATCCTCCATGCAGTCCCGCTGTTCGCGCACGGAAGCGTAGACGTAAAAAATCAAAAATACTACAAGGAAGACTATGTTACTCCACCAAATAACGGGATTGCCGAGCAAGTATATCCTTTGATTGTTTCCGGAGAAGAATTGTCCCTGAAGGTGAAGATTGTGGTAAAGTAAAAAAAATACAAATTTCTACGGAATGCCGCGTGAAAGAGAGCGACAATGAAATCCGATAATTTACCCTGTAATTAATGGGCCACTGCCACGGCCGCGAGGACACTTCTCCTTCCTTCACTTTTAAATCCGAATTTCCTTGCAGCATCACGGCGTGTGATTCTAAGAATCTGTTAAGAAATCCTGGCGCGTACACTCGGAAACTGACGTTTGGCACTGACGAAAATAAACAACATTATGTCGATTTAACAATAAATAAATTTGAAGTGTCGTCTTTGCATCGTTTACTTACATTTGGCATATTGATTGTCCTCGATATTCCATAACGCATTCTTGTCTCTCATATTGGGATTGCAAGAAACTTCCTGCTGACTGTATCCCCTGTTAAAAATTTGTCTGCATTTAATAACTTTACGTCTAAATAAAATAGAAATAAAAAAAATCGAAATCGTCAAATTTAGTAAAGAATCAATCTGTGGCGTGTAAAATATAATCAAAAAAACATCGCGTGGAAAAAATTTACTAACCATTTCGGCAATGTTTTACCGCTACACGTTAGCGCGCAATGATGAAGATAATGTACAAACTTCAGTTTGCTTGTCACAGTCTCCACTACGTCGCCGTCTCTTCCGTTCCTTATCAATACTTTCCAAACATCATTAGCGTCGCCTGTGCCGTTCTGAGAACGTAAAAACGATTGACGAACGAGCCGTGAGCTATGTGAGAATTACATCGATCACTTACTTCTCCATATCCGGTGACCTGATAGTGCCTCTTCGATATCGGCGCGATCTCTTTATGCGAGTGTAAATTCCGTCTCGTGATAATGTGCTCCAGACGAATGAGATCGCCATGCTTGACCAATTCCGGCTCAGACGGTAATTCATCCGTGTCGAATTTCTTCACCAGCCACAGATTATTGTCGTCCTTGTGGGAATAAGTCGTAATCTGTAATCAGATACGTTAGTTAGCGGCATTCAGCAATTGTACCTTGTCTAGCATCCTCTATTATGTCATTATCTTATTATGTTGCGTACATTTTTGTTTCCTCTCGATTAAAGATGCGAAAATTATTATTTCAATAACAGCATAAATCATTTATCTGTGATTAAGCAATTTATTTATCTTTATCTTACTTTATACGCTAAATAAGCATTTCTTGTCTAACCTGTTGCTGTCTAGCGCCGACTCCTTCGGGATACAAGTGCCAGTGGGAATGCAAATAACCGCCGCCTGTGCGATGATTCTTTAACGTGATAGTGGCGCCGTATGCTAATTGTCGCGGCATCGTCGCATTGTATAACGAATTCCCACGCAGTAGCGACTGAAATTCAGAACTGTAGAATCCATCGCCACTTCCGCTAGAACATGAATATAATACTTATTTGCAAACGAAATACTTGCCGCACATAATAGTAATTCACATGTACTACAGGGTGTCTTGAGGGATGAGGAAAAATTGATATCGAGTTCGCAAGGACGTTGACGGGAATAAAAGGAGCACCCTGTACAAGTCAGAGCAATGATCTTCCTTACCTTTTATTCAAAACGGAAAGATGAATATAAAAAAATAGCATGTAAAGTAAAACCGGTAATAGGATGAGACAAAAGCATCTTGCTAACAAATGTTTCCCCACATAAGACTGCAAAAAGCAAATCGAAATCGTTCTTTGGAAATTTAATCGACCATTCAACTTCTTACTTAATTATGGAATTAGTAGCGTCACATCAATGAAATAGTGCAACATTAATAAAATTGCTAGCTTAACTCGTTAGTTATTGATATATTCACATCAAAAGACATAAATGCGAAGCACTATTTGTAACGTTAAAAGCTTTAATAATGATTTTACTTTTGAATTACTTACGATAGGTTTGGACAGATCTCCCAATTCTCGCCAGAGTTCATACGCGGTGTAAAGACCCACGAGCAGAACGACAAACAAGCCGACGAATTTCACACTGATCGTGCACGCGAGCGAGGCTCCAGTGAACGATAACCAGAACCACCAGGATGGAGTAAACGGTCGATCTCGGAGCGACGCTACGCGCGCCATGCCCCACGTCGCGCACATCATAAAGCATAGCAGTATCGGATCCAGGAGGATATATTGATTCAGCGTCAACATTCCTACATCTGTAAACAACGATTTAATTAATCGTGTTTTTTTTGTTGATCCCTGAATTGACGTATAAGAATTTACCAAATAAGATAAAAAACGCAGCAAGAGCAGAGGCGCGAATCGACTTGGTAAAATCCCATACAATGAGGTAGGCTAAAGGGACAGTGGCTGCACCCAAAACTGTACAGAACTAAAATAGAGGATTTTTTAATTGAATTATTGTAATATTAATATCTTGTATAAAGTTTATGAATCTTTTATAAATGTTTCTAATTTAAATGAACCACACTTACAATTCTCATGCCGATGTAACTGACATTTTCAAATTTATCCCCTGGTTTTTCAAAAGCAAAAGTGCCATCATAGCCGGTCACGTATCCAGACAGAGCAATGAGCATCTAAAATTAAATATATAAAAAGTTAGATTTCTGAAAAATGTTAGTGCAATAATAATTATTTGTATAAAGTAACTTTTAATACATGTAATTGCTGAACCTTTCGAAAAAAAATTAATTACCTTTCCCAAAGGTGGGTGCACATCAAAGAAGAATGTTCTGTTTATATACCAACTGCCCATTTTACCAAAGTGTGTTTCATCCCAACTGAAAGCCACAGATTGCTGAGAATTCTCTGTTTAACTAAATCGTAATTAAAGTTAAGCCATTAATCTACTTACCACACATGCTTAGGTTCTGTGACTTTGTAGAACCTGGTGATTAATGTTAGTGCAGTTATACCTCCAAACGAAACCCACCAATTCCTACAAAATCGAATTATTATCATATTGCAATTAATTATTCCTTTTTGCATTAATTTGTCATAGATTTATCAAAGTATAATTAATCTTTGCTAATGATATTCAAATAATTATTGCTAATAAAAAGTAATTTTAGGTTATAAAAAACTAATATTTGTATTATTTCAAATTAAATTATAACTTTATATACGTTTCACTTTCTTCTTTGTCGTTTGTCTCCGAAGTCGCCGTGTTTTTCGATTTGCAAGTGGTTTCTTGAGCGCCGCTCTTCATCTTTCCTTCGTTATTTTTCACTCGGTAAATTGTAAATACATCGATACACTTAAATTAAAAGACGCGTTGTTTGTATTAAAAAAAACAGCAGTCGCTCAAATTTATAAAGTACAAGTTACATTATAGTGATAAATTTATGCATTTCGCGTATAACAGTAAATAAATATCATCCAAAATATTCTTTACACTATTCGGACATTCCACGCGTCAAATCACTTGACAGCTTCCGCGTGTAAACGGTACATTACACCATGAAGATATCTGTAACATAGAAGTCACACCGTACATAGATATCATTAATAAACAAATTTAGAAATATCACTCCTTAATATCCAATAGGAGAAATTAATTTTTAGTATTTTTAAAATTGAGATTTTTATCTCTAGAAAACGCATTTTCTCATTGGACGGCGCATTTTACGTAATGCAAGTCAAGTGAATTTACCATAACATAATTTTCTGTCGAGAAAACATCGGGCGTCACGTGCGCGACACAATGCAGGCCACACAGATCCGCATATAGAATGGAGGTTACAAGAAGAAATAGGACACAACACGTTGCCGAAAAAAAGGATCGTCTCCGTCACTTCGCGGTCGGAACGGACATGAATAGAATCGGTCACGGACGCGCGCGGACGCCGTCATTGTGATGTGGGCGGAATTCTTTTTTTACTTGGAGTCTGGCGTTCTTTAGCGATTATCTTTATTTACCTCCGAATGATGTCAAATTTATATTGCTGTGAAGTATGAGCCAAATAATTTTTTTTAAATGGAACAATATGTCTTGTCTCCTTTTTTTTTTATTTCTCAGAAAATTACAGAAGATACAAGTACGGCTGTTTGCATTTCTTGTATTTTTAGCAAACGATCAACAGAAACCATGGATAGTAAACCCATCACATGTCCTGTCGATATTTGAATTATAAGCAAAAGTTCTTTCTCGCTGGTTTGCTCAAAAAACACAGAATATAAAGATCTCGAGAAATCGGAGAAACGATCCAAGAGAGTCGAGCAAGATAGATGCGAGAAAGAGAGATAGAGAAGGAATGAGGCATAGTGGTGGTGTGTAGATGGATGGCATGGATGGTTATTTGGCATAACGCGGTGGGGATAAAATTCGACCGAAATATCGTACCGGAGCGGGAAACACGATGACACCGCCGGTCATCGTCGCCGAGCCGTTGTTAGCGAGAGCTGTGCAAACGAATTTTCCATTTAATCATCATTCATTGAAAGACACGGTAAGGGTTACTTCCTTCGTCGTCCTTCCGTCCTTGCAGCCCCCTCGTCAATGTGCGCTCCAATTTGCAATCACCTGTTAATTGCACCTGAGAATGCACGACGTTAAAGCCTTTATTGCTACAGTTTGACACGCTCAGCTGTATCTGTATCATACATACACACATTTGTAATCACTATTTATTTGTTAGCTATGACAAGAGGATATATGTTTGTCAAATAAGATTTGGATGCCTTGTGAGAAAAAATTTGTAATTAAAAAGAGTAAACATATATGGGAGATGTGTACATACTGATTAAGATTCACAGATTTATAGATATGTGTCTGCGACACGCTTTGCTGTCTGTATTTATATACAGACGTTCATAGCTATATTGTAAGCTTTGAGTAGCTGCATTTATATATAGGATGTATTTATAGATATGACAAGTGGGTCTATGTATGTCAAATGAGACTGATTAGACATGCACACACACACAAATTCTTTTATGGACAGGTTTTAAATAATAATAAAGATAATAGTAAATTTATTAGAAGTTTTTATGTCATTAGAGAGAAACTTTATTAAAAAAAAAAAATAAAAAAACTTGTTGAAAAATTTCTCAGATAATATTTAAATTTATGTAGAGAATTTTTACTTTGAAAGAAATATAAAAATTATAAATAATGAAAAGCTGATGGTTGTGTCAATGAAATATTAAGAGATAATAAATAATTAAAATAATTTAATTTATATCTTTGAAGAGATTTGATTTCTCAAAAAAAATTAATTATGTTAGTAATATATATATATTTTTTTGAAAAAAGATTAAAACAGATATTTTTAATAGTTTTTAATATTTATTTCTAATAATATCTAATTTTGATTACAGACAAGATATAATGGACAACAACGCTAAATACACAGTGATACCTCTTCATCATCGGCCTGAATTAATCAAAGATTGTTGTAAGTTACTTAATTCTGAATGGCCTCGAAGCGAAAGTGCACGGTGTGTTATGTTCTCCATAGTTTGAAAAATAGTTTACAAAGTTGGTAAAAATATAAGGAGCTAACTCACAACTTTTGTATTATTACATTGCAGAATGAAATCTCTAAATGTGTCTTGCGAAGATTTTCCTACATCTTTGGTTCTAATTAACAAAGATGATAAGGTTCTTGGACACTGCAAAATATCTTTGGTGGCCAAATCAAAAGTTAGCTGTTTCATAGAATCAGGTAAGGAAAACAAAATCCTGTTTTAATACTTGCATGTATAATGTTTGAATTAATTAAATAATTAATTCATTATATGTTATCAAATTAATCATACTTGTAATATATAATAAATCACAACGAAAGAAATTACATATTTTTGATATTTTAGTTGTGATTGACTATCGATATAGATCTCAAGGATTAGGATCTAGATTATTGCGCGGCGTGGAAGAGTACGTTGCGAAGAAGGGCTTGAAGAATGTCTACTTAAAGACTGACGGTCAGGAGGTGTTTTACTATAAAAACGGATACAAAGTATGTGATCCGTTCAAAGCATACGGTATTAACGACATCATAACCGCCAGTCCGCCCCTCGGAAGGAGCAAATTCAAGGAGCGAAATGGCGATCAATCTAACGGGCAGCCGCCACCGCCGCCACCTCCGATGCCGACGTTCCAACTGTCCAAGTTCTTCGACATGCGAATGCAGTCTCCAAAGACACACATGGTAAAAAAATTGTGATAGCATTACTATCAACATGTCGGAATGTTCCGTGCATTTTCTGCTTTGGCTAAGAGCTCCACACCGTGCATTCGCACAATAGATTGAAATTAAATGCTTAAAAACGAATACAATTATCAAAAATAGTAAAGAGTACAAAACAGGATAAATTATAGATTAAGAAACAGAATAAATGATAGATCAAGAAGCAGGATAAATTATAGATCAGGAAACATGATAAATTATACATTGAGATAGACAATTTAGCTCATTGTTCTTTAGTAGCGGACTTGGGCATTTTTGTTCCGAAAGTCATATGCACGTGAATAGAAGTCAATTTGAATGAACATTACTCGAAATTATTCGCGAGTAAAAATGCATTTGATTTTTCGATTTAACCGAACAACGTGAATTACTGAATACACCAAACTCTATTTATAAAAATTACAAAAATCCATATAGAAAATTATTTTAATTTTCTAACTTTAATATAGCTATTTATAATTCTAATTTATGGATGAATCAGTAAGCAGGTTTATCCTTAGCTTTTTAGTACAATTTGTTTCATAATCGTACCTTTATTTATTTCAAATATTATTCTTTCTTTATCTGTTGTCTCCAGCAACAGAATAACACGAATACGCTCACTCTTTTCCATCCAGCTCATGCAATTCGTTGATTGCAAATGCCAAACTTATCAAATGTGATTTCTAACAAATATACATATATAATTAATATATTTTTCCAATAGAAACATATGCCACGCATCTTATTATTCACACATCCCTGCATTTCCTCTTACATTATGATACTGTTGCAATACCACAGATTTTTTGATAATACTCGGGATTCTTGAGACACTCAACGAGAAATGCACCCAAGTCTTGCTTAGAGATGGCGCGTCCAGGTGAAGAATCAAACTTGACAGTGTACTTTGACTTTGGGGTGTCTGGAAGGCACAAAACTTATAAGATTTATCGAAAAAGTCAATGATAGGCTTCGTTGTTTCCTCTTTACACGTACCTGCTATATGTGGTGGTAATATTGCCACCCATTTTAAATCGCTCGCCTTAATTATATCAAACATGCGCTGATGATCTGCAGTCACATCCTTAAATATAGCAGGCACTGCCTCGGGTTTGTAGAATAAAAATGCTGAAAATTCCCAATAATTTATATTTTTTAGAAGAATATTTCAGCGAGTACGATGTTGGATGATCGACAGCAAATTTGATGAAATTAATAACGTTTTGCTATTTATATTATAACAAAATTAAATAATTTAATGCAGAAAGTCTCAAATGTGTACGAGAAGTGCCAGAAATGTCATGTAATATATTTCCAGTGTAGTAATTTTTTTTGTCCGGCATTTAATATATTTAAAATCTTTTTGCAATTATACTTTACCAGACAAACATACGGAGATCAATTCAACATTGTGCACTTTCATAGCATCCATTATGTTCTTCAAGCCCTGAGATAACACAGTAGTGGGACCTTAAAGTAGCAGAATATAATATATCATTATAGAACAACGAAGAGATAAATGTACATATCAATATTAAAAAAAGAAAAATATGTGAATGCATACTCAAGTCATTTCTGGTTCCAAGCACTACAACAACAGCATCTCTGTCAGCCACCGCTTTTGAAACTTGTTCCGCATTAATGACATCTCCAACAACTAATTCGATTTTATTTTTAAGATCTTTAGGAACCTTGGCTTCATCCCTTACAAAAGCTCTTATCTCCAAACCTAAGTAATAGATAATAATAATCAAACTGATACAAAGAACATATAGTATTTCATAATATTACAGATGAAGTCAATATATCAATGTATTGTATAATAAAATAGCAATTATTTGTATATATTATATATTTACTCTTAAATAGAAAAAAAATGTTAATTGTACTATTTCAATTTATATTACATCATTATATTACTTTATATATAGACTAAATGTTTGAATTTTATTATTCCTTTGAAAGAAGCAGCAGTTCAATGATATAATTCATTTGTTTTAATAAAATACTCTCATATTTCACACTTAAACAATGTATACAATTCGCTATTATATGCAAAACAAATTCCAATACTTCAATTTTTTTTTTTTTAACAACACTGACTGTACATAATTGACATGTTTGCATCGCTCAGAATAGCATTATCAATTAACATTAACAGTTTAAAAATATGAAAGAAATGCGCAATCATATGCTGCTTATTGCGCGAAATATAGTCGAAAAAATTACCGTTTTCCACGGCCGATCTCAAAGAACACAGGCCGGTCATTCCGGTAGCACCAAATATCACGATTCGTTTCATCTTACACACGATCACTTGTCACCAACCAATACGTCGTTATGCGTCGTTGTCACGAATGCACGCGATTATATCTGTCTCGCGAAGTACATAATGACAAATCATTCTTTTCGCGAGCGCCGTGGGGAGAACGACGATAAGCTAACACTAAATGCATCGATAACGATGATAATCAATCACAATTAAACTTCTCTTTCTTTTGCTTATGCAACACAGTTTATTGTTTGTTTATTTACGAGAGATATTCACAGAGATTCCTTGAATTCAGACCATAAATACAGTCCTTAAGCCCATTTATTTCTAAAAATAAATATTATAGTAATATTGTTAGTAATATTAATATAATAATTAAAAATTTTATTAATTATTATTATCAGACTTGTTTATTTTAGCTACTGTATTATTTTCTAATAAATTTTTGTACAGACTGAATAAATTATACCCTATGCATAGATAAGTGTATTGAGTATTTTTATATCCGGCAATAACACGATAATAGCCGAATCGGATTGCAGCGTTATTTCACACTTTAGAACGCTACTTAAGATGATACGTTCGAAAGTGTGTGAAAAAAATAGAATTTAAGCATTTTTAAAAAAAATTCTAGGGATAAAAATACTCGTCGTAAAAGTTTCTACGAAATAATCTCCTATTGGTTCTGCCGATCATTAATAACAAAATTTTTATTTTGACTTTCTCATCTAAGTATAATCTATGGTCGGCGCTCATGATTGCACGCGCGCACCATGAGCAGCCATTTTGTCACGTTTATTTCTAAACGCATCCCCCCACCAGATCGAAAACAACCGAAGGTCGACGCTGTTCCTCGATTGAGTGATCTTGGTTAGGTTACTGGTTGCGTCGTACATTTTGGACTTTTAATAGTAAGTAAAATCGTGACAAACACCCGACATTGTTTGTTCGTCGTATCGCGTTGTACGTCGGTTCTTTTGCGTGCGGTCACACGCAACGATCCCGCGCCCTCGTTGCATCGGAATCGCGCGCGTTTCTTCAATGGCAGAGAAAGAGGGCTTCAGTTCACGCAAAGACAGCCAAGACGGTTCCGCGCCTACATTCCGAGGTCTGCTTCATTATAAGACGCGGCTATTCGTCGCGCCATTCGACTTCCTGTGCGGTGTTGTGGCAAAACGTCGGTTCCCGTTCGGCCGGATCCCGCCGACGCCACGTCTCCGACGACGCGACGCACCTCCCGTTATAACCTCCAATACTATATAACCTATATAATTATAACCTACGAGTTTCGAGACGTCAACAGACAGTCGCTGAATGCCGACGAGCGAACCTCGGCCGATTGCGCGCTACTTCGACCAACGCGATTATCGTTTGTCGCACGGCCAACAAGAAAAGAGGGGGGGACGCGGCTTACCGATATTACATATTCGCCGCTGTGTGTTGTTCGCGAGTCGAAAATCGAGTTCAAGCTCATTAAGAAATTCATCCTTTGTGTACGCGTGTCAATCGACGAATTTGTAAGCTGCGATTCTTCGAGGAGGCTTGCCTTTTATGATGTAATCGCGACTTCGTGAAATATTATCCGTACGCGCGCTGTGAAACCGATCGTCTCGTTACCGGCAGGAGGTCTCGTAATGTCGGACGATTTAGCGATAAGAACACAATTATATGTAAATGTTGAATGATTAACGAATTTCTGTCGATTATAAAGCTCGCGAATTACGATTTGTGTAACAGGTTCGTGAGACTGAAAGTTTCTTATTCATATTTGCAAGATCAGTTTTTAACTTATGTATTAAGAATGTGATATGTGTTAAAACCAGGCAGATGCAAAATTCAAACACCCATTAATCCCCATTATAGTGATTTCAGTGATCAAATAGTTTAAAATACCAAAGAAAAAAAAATGGATGTTGCCGGGGATTTAAATTTACAATGGGTGGGAGATGTAGAGCTTCACGAAGAAGTAATATGTGGTCTGGAGACACAGCTGGTCGCCTCGGAGGAAGAGGTGATTGGTGCTTGCGAGGAGGTGGCAGTGGAGGAAACTGTCGAATCTGTTCCTCATGTGGAGGCTACGACGGAGTCTGAGATATTGATGGTACCTCAGACTAATGACATGGAATCTATCTACATAGTTCCACAAGATCAAGGTCATGATTACTTGAATATACAAGTCACAGAGGAGGTAATAGCTGACAACTGGGATAGATCTGTTCAAGATGACGGGTAAATTTCATATAGTTATAATTTTAACAATTTCATTGCAATTTTAATAACTATTGAATACAAATTATATCGAAGATCACTTACGCGACTGAAATGTATGTTAACTAAAAAAATTTACGTCAACTGAAATAAATATATTAATGCAAGCATGAACACTAGCAATGATCTAAAAGATTATAACATTGATATTAAATTACAACTTTTTTGGAATTTATTCTATTAATTTTGAATACATTTCTACAGCTTCAAATTTTATCTGCCAAAATTTTACTCGCAAAGTCGACTCTTCGTGATTCTTTCCAAAATAAATTGCATTTAGCACACTAATAAGTAAAACTACCAACATTTAATTTTTATCTTGATGTATAATTATAATTTCATTAATTAGATTTATTGATATAATTTTAACTGTTTATAATTTTTTCAATGGATTATAATGTAACAAATTATTTCTTTTAAAGGGTCGAGATTCCCGACACAAAGATGACACAGGATAATCTATTGGAGTATGATGACATGGAAATACCATTGCCAATTGATCAAGATTCATATCAAAATGCTCGACCGTACCCATGCGACTTCTGCAGTCGTAGGTTTCGGAAGAAGGCAAATCTGATGAACCACATGGTGGCCCATCAAACGGATCGACCTCACGGCTGTAACTTATGTGGAGCGCGCTATGTACGCAAGTGTGATCTAAACAATCATCTGAAGATCCACGCTTACGCACCATCTTCTCGGGATGGTCTGGAGGACGAATTGAACGACGAAGACTCGATGGCGGTCGAGGAGGAGGATGTGACAGCTCCCAAAGGCAGGCGCAAGAAGGTTCAGTCAAGCGCGCCGCGTAAGCGAAAGAGTAACACCGCCGTTAGTATTCCGAAGCGCAACAACGCCGAGGACATCAAGATTGAGATGGGCAAGTATGTGTATAGCTCGTACAACAATGTGTACATACAAGACGACAACAAGCAATGGTTGGAGGACGATCTGACCGACGGTAATTCTGCACGCAGCGGCAATTACGCGTCCAGTTCAAGGTGGCAAATGGCGGAGATATCGTCTGTTACTTCCGAGCAGCCTGCACCACAGTGGCCAGTCACCGATCCCACCAAGCCGTACGTCTGTCAATTCTGTGGTGTTGGATTTGGTAGGGAGAAGGCACTGGCCTCGCATTCCCGCATTCACGGCGGTGACAGTCCATTTGAATGCAACTCGTGCGGGGAAATGTTTTGGGACATCAACACCTTGCGGGAGCATATGCGTGTGAAGCATGGCGGCATCATTCCGCAGCCAGCGTCCGATGCAGAGGACGACAACGACAACGACGCAACATACATGACAACGGACGATCATGAGAAATTCGGCGAGTTCTACTGCACCATATGTGGAGCGCCGTTCCATCGTCTGGATTTGTTCAAGCGACATCAAAAGTAAGGCCAAAGACAAATTTGTATCGAATATTTTATCTATTATAATTATCGTTTGCTTTGTAAATTTAAATATAAATTCCTAGCTTAGATATCAGATATGTGTGTATCGTACAAATATTTTATTAATGTAAGTTTGCATTAATGAGGAAATTATAATTGCTAATTATAATTGCTAATTATAATTTATAATTATTTATTGGAAAATTAATTTATTATTATTTATTGGAAACATTGTCAATTATTATGAACTTATTATATTTGGATGGTTTGAGATTGTTGTTAATATTAATGTCGAAAATTTTTATATGTAAAGTTTAATATTGTGTATATAGACTGCACATCAAGCAAGAAGGAAACACGGAGGAATCCAGTCAACATCATGTGTGCAATGTTTGCGGAGAGTGGTTCGAGGAGGCATTGGCATTATTGGCACACGCGGAACTTCACGCTTCAAGGTATAGTAGCTGTCATTGTCCAGCATTTCCTGTAACGGTCGATATAATTGCGGTATCAATAATATTCAGTTTCGTTGTCAATAGCATTCCGACTATAAAAATTAGTTTTGTTTCGTCGAATGATGTACCGCAATAATGTTGATTGCAAATGGAAACTGCCTCGGTTCTTTCTCCTCCGAATCGGACGAATTCGAATCACGTTTAGCGCATATACTTATTTCGTGATTTACTTATAACAAGATCTCCTAGTCGTCGTTGTCTACTGTGTGGCGCAAGAGGCCGTACCGAAGTAGAGATTGCAGAACATGTGCGCACGAACCATTCTGACGATGCGCCGCCGAATATGTGTATGTTATGTGGCAAAGTCTGCAAGGACAAACGCAGTTTGTTGAAACATTCGTGGATTCACAATGCCGACAAGACCTTTAGTTGTACACAGTGTGGTAAACGCTTTCACAGTAAAGCCAGACTACGACGGTGAGTGGAATAGCGTAAAATCTATCTTTGGACGCATTTTCATATTGTGTTATACAATGATAGAACAAAGAACTGAAGTTATTGGCTTTATTTTTTCCTCGCAATACATTCAACCAACTTCTTTCTTCGTATATTTTTATTTGATTAATCGAACAAATCGCTGTGTTGCAGACATATGGCGTCGCATCGTAACAAGATGGTGGCCTGTGACGAATGCGGCGAAGAATTTCCCGACGGACGGGCTCTCGTCAGCCATCGACATTCGCATAATAAAGAATTAGGTGGCCGTTCGTTTCCGTGCCGAGAGTGCGGAAAGACTTTTGGAAGTCGTAGCTCGCAGCAGATCCATATACGAATCCACACCGGTGAAAGACCTTACGGTTGTCGGTTTTGCTGGAAAGCATTTGCCGATGGTGGCACTCTCAGAAAGCACGAACGTATCCACACTGGCGAGAAACCATATGTATGTGCAATTTGCCCCAGAGCCTTCAACCAGAGAGTAAGTTTATCATTTAAGCGTGCGAACGACAAATATGCATTTAAAAAAAGGAATAATTAATTATATGAATCTTGTATTATTTTTTTGTATCTTGATAATTCAAATGGCGAATAGCTAACATATATATATATAATATTTAAATTTAAATAAATTCTAAATTTGGCACTACGTCAAGTAATTTCACACGAAATCAGAGATTACAAAGCGTGTAACGTTGGAATAAGATTAAATCCATATTTTACACGATTACAAGATGATTGCACAGATATTTAAAATTCTTATTCTCTTCATCACAGGTGGTTTTACGAGAACACGTACGCGCTCATCATTCCGGTCCAGATCCGAAGTCTGTAAATAGCGTGACACCTTACGTGTGCAAAGTGTGCGACCAGGCTTTCAGTACACCCGAGGAAATAGTAGCGCACATTGTGAAGCATTGCGATGATAATACAGCGCGTAAACGCCAGCCACAGACTGGACCGCGCAAGTACAAAAGAAGACGTAAGATGAAACCCAACGAAACGAACACGATGGTGCGCAAGAATGAGTTCACGTACGAGATGATGGAGAGCAGCGGCGGTGGCGGTAGCGCCGGTGGTGCCGGCGCCGCCACCGGATCCGACTCGGAGGACAATACGAAGCGGAAGCTCGGCAAGAAGAACAAGCAGCAGCATCGGTCGAACGTTGAAGAGGGCTACCAGAATGTGTTGAAGAGTTTCGAGAGCTCGTTGCAAAACATAAACTCGATCGTGAGTAACTCGAAGCTGAACACGACCAAGGCAAAGTTCTCGAAGAAGAAGCTGCGTAAGGAAGAGAAAAAGCAGGAGGCGCAAGCATCACCACAGTCAGGCCGGCCAAAGATGATTCACACGCAAAAGACGCGAGTCCCCGTGGAAGTGGGCAGTGACGGGGCAAAGAAAGGTCAGAAGACGAAGACGATGGTGACGCGGACGCCGAAGGTGATGCCGAACGAGCACAAGGCTGGCGTGTTCCCGGGCGGCGAGCGGAATCGGCCGCGCACGAAGAACGTCAGCTATCACGTGGAGGGTAAGCAGCAGATTGCGCCGGCCACGTTCCCGGTGAAGAAGGAGAACGCGCCTTCTGTGCAGGCACAGCAGAAATTAGTGGTTATCAAGCAAGAGCCGGGTATACAGAAAACCGTCGGCGACAGTCACAGAAACAACAACGGCAATATCCTCGCTCTCGGCGAGGGCCAAGAGTCGTCGACCAAGAAGAAGCCGCCGGCCCTGAAGAAGACCAGAAGACAGAGACACGTAATAGTGAAGCAGGAAGCGAACGTGGTGCTCGAGCCGGCTATGGAGGAGCAGCAGCAGCATATGCAGTTGCGTAACAACAACAATAAGAACAACAGCGCCGACACGGCGCGACTGATGGAGCACGCGGTGGACGGTAGTAATCTGGAGGTCGCCTTCGAGGCGAGTGTCGTCACCGCCCAAGAAGAGGATCAGGACGACGACGATGACGAGGAGGAGAGCATACTGCCTCATGACGTCAGTGCTGAGGAAATCGGCAACGGGGACAATAACGTCAAGTTGAGTGTAAAGGTGGAGTCGACGTCGCCGGCAAGGATGCTCGCGGTACACAGTGTTATCACGCCGGTGGACGATGTACCGGAGACGATAATACCGGACGCGGTTGAGTACACGTGTGAAATGTGCGCCGCGGTGTTTTCTAGCCGCGCTGAGCTGTTGGTGCATGTACCAATACACATTTGATTTGATAATTTGTCTGAGCCGGAAAACGGCGCGGGGGTTTGTTCTACTTCTGCAGCATACTTGATCCAAACAAATATGTTAAAGCAGCAACTTGTTTAATCAACATACCTGATTGATCTATCTGATCTACCTGATGACGTATATCCAATTTGATTGAACAGTATGTTGAGCAGGTAGATTGCGATATAATACGCGATATAATATTATTTGTAGTACGCAGTATAATATATAATTATTTGTATTATGAAGATAGAGCCATAGTTATGTTTTTTTTTGAACGAGATAATAATCGAATGTAATTTTGATGCATACGACATGCAAAAGAGAATCAGTTCGGAGTTAAGCATTGTCTCGAACACTAAACAATCAAACGTGAAGCACCTACTATCTCATTAAAATTTTGAATTTTCGTTGGATCTGACTTGCCAGATTTTATAAAATTAACGACTTTGTTCTTGTACATACTCTAGTTACGTTCTTAAGTTCTTTTTTGATATTATAGAACATGATATCAAATATATATATATATATATTTATATACATACATATATATACATATATTTATATATATACATATATTTATATATACATACATATAGATATATATATACATATATTCATATATATATATATATATATATTTACACACACCTGCACACACGTGTATGTATGTTTGTATGTGTGTATGTATATATTTATGTAATATATGTGATTATTAATTATATATATAAATAATATATCTATATTCAAAATTGTATAAAAATGCCGCACTGATATGACTGTTATTCTCAAAATATAATAAATGATTATAGGTTTGTTATTCCATTACATTGTGTGGCTGCGAGTTTATGAATCTACCTGATTAAGATACCTTTTTTTATTGATTACCACAAGAGATCTCGTTTAAGTTTGTGCAAAGGAGAATGAGAAAAAAAATCAGATTGGTATAATACTAGTGTGTATCGCGAGAAATTTATGTTGAGTCTTAATTTGCGGTGATATATTCTGCTCATCAGATCAACGAATTTTCCACGGTTATTTATTTATTTAATTAATTATTTTCATCGATATATTTCTATAATGTAATTAAGAGCAACAATTTGAAGGCGAAAACTAATAATTTATTACATGTATTATTTCTTTGACTTATTACATTTAAAGCATATGTTCAACTTAAGCACAGATGATATAAATAATTTTGCAATTCAATTAGGTAACTAAATAAAGGATATACTTTTTAATGCAAAAGCACTTTTAAATTAGCGCTTTTTATGTTTGCTTTGATCAATGTAAGTCTTATATATAAAAGGAAATTTTATCTTCCATATATGTTATATAGATTAATATTGTTTTTTATTGAGCATAAAATTTAGTGTTAAAATTTAGTGTGAAGTTGAGTTGCGTGGGGCAGGTGTAAACATGAAATATTTTTTTATTTAAAAATTACGATGACGAATAGTATATCGGGTTTAACATTTTCCTGTTACACATTCTTGCCATTTTTTAAAAATTCTTTTCGACTTACTCGGATAACGCTATCTCAATGATCAGACTCACTAACGCGTTGCGTGCGCTCATGATAATTACATTAGTTGTCGAAAGTACGTAGCAAAACAATTGTATAACTTATGGAATGTTTAAAGAAGAAAAGAGAAACCACAACCCGAATATATCCACGGTTAATATGTCTGTATTTTAAAAACAAATGTTTGTAATTAAATTTCCAGGCAATTAATCAAAAAGAAATAGAGAATTCAGGAAAAGAAGAGATGGAAGAAAAAAGAACAGGCGAGCGTGTTGCTCTATTTTTGTAGTCTAAAAAAAACGTATTTTGAATACGACAAAAATTCCCGTACTGCGTACTCGAAGCGCGTGTTTTGCGATAGGATGCGTGTATGTACATTTTATTGTTTGATACTGTGATGATATAGATTCGGCGTACAGTGCCTACTCAATTTTATTTCTATCTCTTTCGAAGGAAAAAAAAAGCGAGAATCAATTAAAAGGATATTGGCTTGACGAGATCGGAGGATTCGAATTTTGATGCGGAGAAGCGAATCTGGAAAAGATCTCGACGTCGTGAGATGAGATGAGATTGCGTCGTTGAAGAAAGCTTCGCACTATAGCAGAAAGATGTTTTAAGGTAGCATAATTTTTTAGTTAAATACGATAAAAAGTTTTATAACAAATTCGCTGTTTATTCTAATTTTTTTTTTTCGTTTTTGGAAACATTAATGATTAAAGTTATCCAAACTTCAAAATAAACATTTATTCTTAAAAAGGATAATAACGTTTATTTTTGATGATTTTAAAAAAGGGACTCGTCGAAATGGATGGTAGTTTTCTTTATGCGACACAATTTCATCCGATCTCTGCGTTTGAAACGCTTTCTATCGCATATTATATGCCACACAACAAAGTTGACGACTTCCTTTTAGCAATACTGTAGAGATTTGTACACACAGCAATTACAAGGCAGGGATTGAAATCAATCATGTGTTAAAGCGGACCTCGGGTGCCGCGGAAATATATGCACTTTTCAATCTTGTAGGCAAGGACCGAGAGAGACTATTGCTGCAATGGAATATACGAATTGTCCCTCACTTGTACAGTACGTTTTAGGGACGAGAAATATATGACCAATGTAAGATAAAAAGATAACAAAGTATCGTAGAGAAGAATATATATATGTAATATATACATGTATTCACACACATACGCTAATGCGAATAATTCGTTAAATCCCTGAATCTTCGCGAAAGAACTGTACCATGTGCGATTACATTCCTGCGTTTACATCATCTGCGATCGATCGTGCGTCTCCTGAATTCACCTGCGCTGCAGAACAGCCCGGTGCGATTACGTCACGACGAACTACGTCGATCGCAGAATCTGCAAGATTGTAAGTAAAAGCGCAGAAATAGTAGAGCGAAGAAAATTAAGACATGTACACACATTTTTCAAATGCGAGAGTTGACTCGTATATAAATGTAAGTAATTCTTTCTAATAATAAGGCAGAACTTACAGTAAGATTAGTCCTAGTACGTGTAACAAAATAATTGTATGATGAAAATTTCATTGAAATTGATGAATAAGGATAAGAATGAAGTGTGTGAAAAAAAAAGATAGAGAGCGAGAGAGAAAGGTGACGGATGTGCGAGTGTGCGTGTGTGCTTGAACTGTAAACTAATCTTCGAAGTATGTATAGATTTGTAAGCACGCACTGTCAAAAAAAAGTAGTGTTCGTTCTTCACATATATAGCGACACTTGTAAGACCGCGCGTACTCGCGCGTTTCTTCAGGGACGAGAATAGAGAAGAAAGGAAACACATGTACATAATTATATCACTTTGGACATGGTATAGCGGTTTACTGTTAATCATAGTTGTACCTTTCTTTTTTTTTTCCCATTGAATAAATCATCGGTAGTTATATGGATACGTGTCGCACGTATGACGTTTCTACCTTCTACTCACCGTAGAGCCACTGTATATGTACAATTTTACATTCGAAGGTGTCAAAGGTTTGAAATTGATTACGCATTACTGTTATTATTAGCGTTATTGTCATTGTAATTATTATGTATTGTTATTATCAACATTATAATTATATTATCAAATTCGAGAACAAATTTAATGATTAATGAAATTTGACGCCGAATTATTAATTGGCTACGGAATGAAATCGCAGACACTGTAGATCTCTTTCTCGAAGCCCATGCAAACGACGGAAAAGATGATGAGGATCGCTCCGGTCAGACTGGTCGACGTGGGCTTGTCGCCAAAAATGTACACCTGGATCAGGTACGCCAGAATGATGTCGAGCGATCTCGTGACCGAGACCTTACCCGCGCCCTCGATTTTCAGCGCTTTCGTCACCAGCACCTGGCCGGTCAGGCCGGTGACCACCACCAGCGTGATCTGGACCCAGGTGAGGTAGTCGTGCGGCAAGCGTAGCTTGTGAATTTCGTGGATGCCGCCCGACACCGTGAAGTAGAAGAAGACGGAGGCGGCGAGCGACCAGCAGGATAGATTCAGCACCAGGATGGAGTAGTGTATCTCGGAACACTTCCTCATGACGACCATGTTGAGCGCTGTGAAGAGAGTCGCCAGGATGGCGCACAGGTATCCCATGAGATTGTAGTGCTCGGCATGATGCATCTGAAAGAGGAAAGGTGTCCGATTAATGCTGCAAAGTTCTCTTTAAAGAGAAACAACGCGGAATAAATTTGCGCCCTCGTAAAGGACCGCCTTTGCTTTCTTTTACTTTGAAATACCTGGAACAGGAAGGGCGGCCTGGCAACGAGGACGACGCCCGTGAGAAGCGTGCAAACCACCACTACGCGTAAAACACCGCAGGGCTCCTTCAGGAAGAGGAAAGATAGCGCGATGACGATAACCGGCGAGCTGAATATGATCGTTGTGGCATCGCCAAGGGGCAATTCTCGGAAGCTGTAGTACAGCAATGACAGTGTCATGCCGCCAACTAATCCCTGATGAACGAATAGGTAATTAGAACAAATCAATGGAATGGTCACAAGAAGCAGAGAATATCGCTTCTTACAAGTTTCTTAAAAATTAAACAAGAGATGAAGTAAAAAATCATAAATACAGAAATGGAATATTAATATGCACAACACCCGATTATACAGGGTGTTTCGTAAATACCTAACACTGAGTACGAGATTCCTTGTATAAAAGTGAGTAATAAAAGTTCTTATAAAAAAAGTACAAGACACCGATAGTTTT